TTGTAACCGGATACGTTTTGGTAGTATCACAAATTATAATGAATTAGGAAATCGCTCATGAGAAAGGAGGTAATAGCTAAATGGATGGTGCTATCTACCTAGAAATTAGTTCTTAGATTCCCAAACTCTCCTGATTTTAGAGATGTATTTTGACTAACGTTTCATCATTATTAACAGAGATCGAGCCTTCTTTTCAAATGTAATGAAATTACTGAAAATACGACACCAATTAAAACAAAACGAGTATATCGTTAAACGTTTGTGACAAACGTACACCTAGTGAATCATTAAACGCCTTTGTCAATAAATAGATATAATACAAATTTCATAACCAGGATAATTCCTAACAAATATGTGTGTATATACATTTAAAAATATATTAATAACTTTCCTAAAGTGAAACATTCTGTTGTACTAATATATCCTCTAAAGTATTTTTCTTTGAGAACATACAGATCTTATCAAATCTATAAAAAATCTATGGAAAGAATCTCAGATTCTGTACCATTGGATAGCATATTGGAAGAACCATTCGATCCATGTAACCTCAGAACTTTATACATGGAGGGAAAAGTATGCAGATTAATCTATGCTGCAGTGTAGAGGATATTGCCTTAAAGGAAAACATAGTCAATAACAATGGCAAAATGATATTTATACAGAAATATCGAAATATAATTGGATGGAAAACTATTTACCATTAAGAACAACGTATATAAGACAAAGTTAAGATAATTCCAACACCATACTGTTCATAGAATGCTGAAACAGATAAAACATGTTCCAATATAAAATTGTAGCATATTCTCTGTATTCTTTCTGCAATGCTGAAACTGAAAATGTCATTCATTTGTTATTTGAATGTACACAGGTAAAACTATTGAGCCACAGCCTTATAAAATAGATAGAAAATAAATCCGTACTAAACTAAATGTAGAATAGAATCACCTCATTTTTGGATTTAAAGAAAAAATGTAATGACGCCTGAATTTGATATACCTTGCAACAAACATTACGCTCATACACAAAAATTATCTCCATAATACTATCGAAGCTAAAACACACCTCCTGAAATCTATATCATTCAGAGAAAATATATCTCATACACAGTCTGTGAATAGGACAAATTTGTGACCTTGTTTTTACATAACCAGACTATATTGTACAGCTATGTCTACTCCCGCGACATGTTTAACAATAATTTACAATAGATTAACTTTTAAACATTCATATTGTCCAGCTTAAATGTAATTTATGACTGTAATAACTAATAACATTCTAATCTTAAACTAAAGTCTGCTTGGATCTTTATTAACAACACAGAAACAAAATTTGGAGAATACTTGAAATTCTCGGCCAGGCGCTTGAACTGGAAAAATCGTGGTCCCGAGAGTGAAAGTGACAAGATCGTGTAAGCCCCCTTATGTCCTGTGCACTACGTTGTACAATAATAAATCTGCTAGGATCCCATGGACATATCTTTTTGTAGATATATGAATGGAATCTCTGCAAGGAAAATCTGTAAATTATGACAAAAAGCAGATAAATATAATATACATTAAGTGTGATTCACCCAAATCACGAAGGCTAAACGGAGGGCGAAAGAGAGAGTATTGCCTACCGCTTATGAAGAACGCCCTCCGATACATGACTATAGAAATTTACGCGATAAAGCTAACAACATGTCAACATGTCAGCTCCGCTATCGCTTGAAACAAGAACTCAACGGGTTTCAGGCCCATTAATATCTAAATGTATGATCAAAGCAAAATATGACAGTTACGCAGTATGTATAGGGATATTATCTGGGAGTTCATCGATATTGACTTTTCAGTCAAAAACCCACAGGAAATATATTTAAGAAATCTCAAGAAAATACGAGGGGTAATCGGCCACTAGAATCTGAATAGGATTTATGAAGGTGGTGTTCTCGGCCGTGATGCAGGGTCATGTCTTGACTGTATAGGACCGCATCGCGGCTCTCGGCTATGGGAAAAGTTGACAGATGATGCAATTGATAAATATTGCCTCAGCTATACTGATGGGTTTTTTTAGGTTTGGTTTTTTTTCTGAGGGGGGGTCTGCTGTTCACCATCTCAAAGATGGTGTTGATTTAATAACTGACAAATCTCAAATTGCAAATAAAATTGGAATAACTCTTGCCAAAAATTCATCATCATCAAATTATGTCCCCGGGTTTCAAAGATATCGGAAACAACAGGAAAAGACAACAAAAACATTTTGATTCCAATAACGGTGAAGATTACAATGAAGAACTGATGGTTACCCGTGAAAATGAGGGTTACAGTTTGTCTTTCGCAGCCCATACCTATGATAAGTTGCTCAGGCTTGCCAATTGGGCTGAGGTATATCATATCCCAACTGCATACATCGATGTTCATCATGTTAGTCAGTCACTTCATTGGCAAGACCATTGTGGTGAAAAAAGATTAATTCATTAAAAATTGGGGAGCAGGTGTTTTACCTCATTACTCAATATTTCAAACATTTGCAAAAAAAACCCAATAATATCAGGATTATATAACATCTGACTGTATAGAAAGTTTAAGACACTCATTTTGCATGTCTTTTCCAATCATTTTCTTTCATTTACAAAGAAGTTGCACCTTATGTACATAGCCAAAGGTTGTTCAGGTTATATATAAGCCATAGAAGATGGGAAACAGATTGAGTGTCAAGTCATCTGAAGTGCAGGAATTCACAATGTAGAAGTCCAGTTGTGTGAAGTTGTGAATCCTGTATCATTTGTGTTTTGTCTGTCTTTACTTAAAGAGATAAATTACCTTTTATCATTTCATACATGCCTTAATCATTGTAAATAAATTAATAACTTAAAAATAACATGAAATTTTGACAGTAGTAAACATGGTAATATATCATCAAATGTAATAATTTGTTCTCTCATTTTCTTGTAAAATATATTTGTTATTTGAATGTACAGGTAAAACTATTGAGCCACAGCCTTATAAAATAGATAGAAAATAAACCGTACTAAACTAAATGTAGAATAGAATCACCTCATTTTTGGATTTAAAGAAAAAATGTAATGACGCCTGAATTTGATATACCTTGCAACAAACATTACGCCTACACAAAAATTATCTCCATAATACTACCGAAGCTAAAACACACCTCCTGAAATCTATATCATTCAGAAAAATATATCTCATACACAGTCTGTGAATAGGACAAATTTGTGACCTTGTTTTACATAAACCAGACTATATTGTACAGCCATGTCTACCCCCATGTTTAACAATAATTTACAATAATAGATTAACTTTAAAACATTCATATTGTCCAGCTTAAATGTAATTTATGACTGTAATAACTAATAACATTCTAATCTTAAACTAAAGTCTCGCTTGGATCTTTATTAACAACACAGAAACTAAAAATTTGGAGAATACTTGAAATTCTCGCCAGGCGCTGAACTGGAAAAATCGTAGTCCCGAGAGTGAAAGTGACAAGATCGTGCCCTTAAGTGTCCTGTGCACTACGTTGTACAATAATAAATCTGCTAGATCCCATGGACATATCTTTTTGTAGAGATATGAATGGAATCCTCTGCAAGGAAAAATCTGTAAATTATGACAAAAGCAGATAAATATAATATACATTAAGTGTGATTCACCCAAATCACGAGCTGCATAAACGAGAGGTTAGTAGAGAGAGTATTGCCTACCGCTAATGAAGAACGCCCTCCGATACAGACTATAGAATTTTACGATGCGCAACATGTCAACATGTCAGCTCGCTATCGTTGAAGCCACTAGAATCTGAATAGGATTTATGAAGGTGGTGTTCTCGGCAGTGATGCAGGGTCATGTCTTGACTGTATAGGACCGCATCGCGGCTCTCGGCTATGGGAAAAGTTGACAGATGATGCAATTGATAAATATTGCCTCAGCTATACTGATGGGTTTTTTTAAGTTTGGTTTTTTTTCTGAGGGGGGGTCTGCTGTTCACCATCTCAAAGATGGTGTTGATTTAATAACTGACAAATCTCAAATTGCAAATAAAATTGGAATAACTCTTGCCAAAAATTCATCATCATCAAATTATGTCCCCGGGTTTCAAAGATATCGGAAACAACAGGAAAAGACAACAAAAACATTTTGATTCCAATAACGGTGAAGATTACAATGAAGAACTGATGGTTACCCGTGAAAATGAGGGTTACAGTTTGTCTTTCGCAGCCCAATCCATGATACCTATGATAAGTTGCTCAGGCTTGCCAATTTGGCTGAGGTATATCATATCCCAACTGCATACATTGATGTTCATCATGTTAGTCAGTCACTTCATTGGCAAGACCATTGTGGTGAAAAAAGATTAATTCATTAGAAATTGGGGAGCAGGTGTTTTACCTCATTACTCAATATTTCAAACATTTGCAAAAAAAACCCAATAATATCATGATTATATAACATCTGACTGTATAGAAAGTTTAAGACACTCATTTTTACATGTCTTTCGAATCATTTTCTTTCATTTACAATGAAGTTGCACCTTATGTACATAGCCAAAGGTTGTTCAGGTTATATAAGCCATAGAAGATGGGAAACAGATTGAGTGTCAAGTCATCTGAAGTGCAGGAATTCACAATGTAGAAGTCCAGTTGTGTTTTGTCTGTCTTTAGCAAAGAGATAAATTACCTTTATCATTTCATACATGCCTTAATCATTGTGAAATAAATTAATAACTTAAAAAATAACATCATGAAATTTTGGCAGTAAGTAAACATGGTAATATATCATCAAAATGTAATAATCTGTTCTCTCATTTTTCTTGTAAAATATATTTATGTTTTGGCACAATATTACCATGATTACTAATCATGACCCATCAAATACCAGTGATGATGTCTCCAGTACTGATGTATAAAACCCCTACTATGACAACATACAGTGATATCTGTAGCAGTGTGTTCAACATGTTAGACTAGATCATATAGATTGTCATTGATTTTTCTTCAGATATCAGAATCTGTTGTACGAAGATTGAAAGGAGAATCAGAGCCAGAGGGAGCTTCAAGCAGCCAATCTAGTAAGAGACTTGACATCTTTACAAGCTAATGCCATGAACACTATGTGCAAGTATTAATATGGTAACTTAGCACCAACAACAAACCATTTATCGTTTATATTTTTGTGGTTTTATTTATTAGTGGTTGTCATAACATGTTCAATATCCTGTGCCAGATGAGCATACTTGACTGTAAGTGATTTACATGAACCATAAGCTTCCTATGAATGATTCCAGATTGATTCAATAAAGTACAACAATCATACACCATGAGGATTCAAGGGCAGAATATTGTCCATTATCTTAGACACTGACTAATGAGACTTGGATGATCTAGTAGTAAGTCACCTGGCTGGTGTATGTCAATGTCATGGTTGCTGCTCATGATTTCAACCACTGGATTGTGCCAAGAATTGATTACGTCCATGCTGCTGTCATATTGCTTGAAGACTGAAGTTTTAGAAAACACTCACTATATTAACAGTATTGTTAATATGGAACCGAGTCTCAGTAAACTGGGGCCTGACTTGAGCATGGTCATTGTAGGTCAGTGTATTTAGGTCATAATCTGTTGCTATTTTGATCTAGGCCTGTGGAAATGATTTTGAGGTACAGTCAACAGAAAGTTGAATGCATAACTTTAACTTCACATAACACAAACCGTTCATAAAATTCTACATGAAACAAGGTCTTGGTTAATGTTTGTTGATCATATTCTCAACCTCTGATTAAATAAATTACTTTTAATGATTTTCACTGTCAAACAATGTTTTTTTTTTTCTTTCTTTTTTCAGAGAGTGCACCACGTCCAGAGGTATGTCATTCATACATATTTGTACAATGCAGTGTGTTCTGCATGGGTTCAAGGCTACGCTATGTACCCACAAGCTCATACTAAACAAGATATTAATTCCTACATTGTTACTATATGTAAAGCCCATTTCTGGTGACCCTCACCTCAGATATTGCAAGAATATAGTGCTAAAAATAGTTAAAGCCAACTCATTGCAAGAATTTAAGTAAACCAACTCAAGTAAGATAAGAAGTTGTTTAAATCAAGACTAGTGGTTGAATGAAAATGTTATACTCCTCACAGAAAGGTTGCTAAAGAAATGATTTGATAATGCAGGAGTAAACTGAAATTTATGCAAGGAGATAACCAAATCTGGCATAAATGTTCACTGAACTAGATAGAGGAGAAGAGTGCCAAACAACAATATAATGACTAATGCTTTGAGAGACCCAACTTTCACTTCAACTTTGACCAGGATTAGGAGTCATAACATACTAGTCATGGTTCATAGTTCACCATTGTTAACAACTCTTTTTTTTTTAAAGCTTGACATTTGTTAATTTGGATTCAGATTCAGTTTACAGATTTCATAAGAGGACTATTGCTTGTCATGTTTGTTGGTGATACTGATGCAGATCTTATTTTCAAAATAATTTTTAATTGCCCAATTAACTGTTGTCTTTAGGAAAACTATCCCTTTTAAATAAGAGAAAAAATATGGGATCAATGACTGTTTGCAAAATCTGTTTTAATAAATACTGCTGAAAATTTTCTATCGTATGGTTGGTTATTATGGTTGTGTTATAAATCTGATGGGGGTGAAACGATACACCAATGCACTGGTACATCGTGAGTTTTCTGGTCCAGACTAGATTATTTACAGACCGCCACCATATGGCTGGAATATTGCTGAGTACAGCGTTAAACAACAACAAACGATAATATGTTGTCCTTGCTGTATCATATCACTCTAACTCCTATAGTGAAGTGTTTTCTGGGCTGATGATGGTGTCCTCTGTGTTGCAGCGGGTGTACATGCCGCCTCCTCCACCTCCTCAGTTTGGCCAAGCCAGGATAGACTCCAAAAAAGCAGTTCAGGAAGTAGAGAACTTCTACCAGCAGAAGCTTAGACAGCTAGAGGAAAGAGTAAGTCATACATTGTGGACAATTTAGGGCAATTTTGGCTCAGTCAGCTTAGGTGCTGCAATTTGGTGTACAGAGTTGCTTCCCTTGGGTCTGCTTGACACCAATGATTGTGCAGGGGTGGAAATAACTTTAAAATTGCTAGTGTACTCCGGTACAGTGGCACATGTAAAATCACTTGCCCTAATAATTTTTCCACTATACCGTCCGTTTTCTTGTTGATCGAAGTCAACTGGACACCGGTACAGCGTGATATACAAATTTGCTTGCCCGACAGAAAAAAGCACTGGACTTGGACGTCGGGCAATGGGTTATTTCCACCCCTGATTGTGGGTTGAAAATCAGTTTCCATTGTGTTTCTATGTTGTTCAGTACCATACCGATGTGGTAAACTGCCAGTGTCTGCAACACTTTCCTCCCACCCTATGCTGACATGCTGCATTAGGCCCAACCCCATATAATGCAAATATCGTAAGTCTCAAGCTTTTTAACATCCAGGGTGGGGTTAGAATGGTTAAACTTAAAGCGTTCTCATTACGAGCTAAGATAGTCGTCCCCACAGTGCCATACATTAACAGTAACTGGTGTTACTTGATATTTATCTTAGCTAAAAGAGAGCTTCCCTCACTATCTAGGCTAAGAGTCTAGGTCCAGGGCTCTGTTCCACAAAGCAATCGTAGTGCTAAGATGATCATAAGTCCCATACTTTAACATAGACTTATGACAGTCGTAGCGTTATGATCTCTGTGAAACAGGGCCCAGTCCAGTTACTTGAATTTAGTTATCATTCATTCAGTCCAGGATACATGTAATGGCACACGTGAAACTCGGGCTTCATCTAAAAGGCTCTTACATTATGATTCCAGCATTCTGAATTATAACACTCTGAATCTCATTCAAACATAAATTATGGTTAAATTTCAAGTCAAACAGATCAACATTTCTCTGAATTTACTTGATCATTATTTTATTTTTCTTCAGAATGCAACACTACAGAAAATAACAAATGAGCAGTTTGCCAAGGCAGTCCAAGAGGTTGAACAGAAGTTTTTGTAAGTCATCTGAAAATTTTTTTGACTTTTATCCTTAAACAATATGTGGGTGGGTGGGGAAGCCTAGTGGTTAAAGCATTAGCTGATCACACCTAAGACCGTGTTTGATTCCCCACATGGGTACAATGTGTGAAGCCCATTTCTGTTGTCCCCACCGTGATATTGCTGGAATATTGCCAAAAGCTGAGTAGAACTACACTCACTCACTCACTCACACACGCACACACACACACACACACACACATAATTTACAGAGCAGGCCTTGTATGCAAGCCAATAAATTATTGTTAGAGGAGAACTTTGCAACAGAGATGTCTCTGAAATTATCTGGCTGTATGTGTATAAATGTCAGTGAAGTCACTAAGGATATTGCTGTATTATGACTTGTTTCCTTGAGTTGCTCATTTGTCATATAATGCCGCCATAGTTCAGTGGGAAGGGCATCCGACTGGAAAGCGGAAGTGAATGGCTTATCACCCAGGCCATGTGAGACCAAAAGCCATTAAAAAAAATATTTCCTGGTACCCTACCGGGCCCTCAGCCATCAGGGGATGAAACAGGTTGAAACAAGGATGGTTAGCTTGGGAACATGGTTGGCCCAGTTGTGTAAGGTGCCATGTTTTGCTGCACAGGGTTGAATCCCAGGTTTGAATCCCAGATCACTCCGATTATGTTACTTGGTTTGTAAGCAACATACTCATGGATTCCAATAAAGTGGAGTGACAGTGGGGTAGTCTACTGATTAAAGCGTTCGCTGATCATGCCAATGGCCTGGGTTTGATTCCCCACATGGGTACAATATTGTTGAAATATTGCTACAAGCAGTGTAAAACTCAAGTCACTCGTTCTAATGAAGTAGTAAATGTATGACATCCACATCCCTTTATTTTCTGACCGCCTCTGTGGTGTAGTGGTTAGAGCATCCGCCCGGAGAGCGGAAGGTCGCAGGTTCGATCCCTGACCGCGTCATACTTAAAGACGTTAAAATATGGTACTTGTTGGTCCCTGTCTGGCATTCGGCATTAACGGGTACAACAAGGACTGGTAAAATGTGTCTGAGTGGGGTATTCATGCTTCACTGCGGCATGGTATCTCAGTGGGCTAGCACTATAAAACCAGTTTAAGTCTGGGCTAGTACAAGCAGCCGCACATACACATAGTGACATACACACGCATGCACGTCATCATATGGGCGAAATATTCTCAAGCACGACGTTAAACAATTTCTCCTCACCTCACCTCACCTCACCCTTTATTTTCTGATGTGGCTAGAATACAGTGTTGAACTATGCGTCCCCTTCTCTGCTCACTCACCTGCTCTAAGTCAGTAAAATATATCCGAGTCAGACACCCATTATAAACTGTGTCATCATATCTCAGTGATAAGGCACTATCAAACTGACCACTATATAAAGTACACTTGCACCCACACACATATGCATGCATGTCACGTTGTGCTGAAATAATCTTCAAGTAAACCCCAATTAACATCATCTCCCCTCAATTTGTCTATTAAAATACCATTGCAATGATTATTCTCTTGTCATTGTTGTGATGTTTCTCTTGTTGCAGGAAACAGACCGGTTCCCCTGTGTGTCAGGATCTGCAGAGTCGAGTATACAACTGTTACGTGGACAACCCTAAATATACACTCAGATGTTCAGCTGACGTCAGAGCATTTTCATTATGTGTAGAGAAAGCTAGACAGGTAGGCAATGATAGATGGGCTATACATTATGCTTCTACTGCCTTATGAATAGCTTGATAAATCAACCACGACCTGGGTACCTGTCAGGCAATATGTAGTGTGATTTGTTATCACTGGCTCAATTCCCATGGTTATATATCCTGTGCAGTGATGGAAACTGAAAAACATGAAGGAAAGCTATCCTAATCATTACAGACTTATGGTCTAAATAAAAAACATAATTTTAAAAAAGCACCCGTGAAGATCTGTGTTATAATTGATCTTCAGCGACCCATGCTTGTGGTAAGAGGCGACTAACAGGATCGGGTATTCATGCTCGCTGACTTGGTTGACGTGTGTCATCATAGCCCAGTTGCGAAGATCGATGCTGATGCTGTTGATCACTGGATTGTCTGGTCCAGACTCGATTATTTACAGACTGCCATCATATAGCTGGAATATTGCTGAGTGAGGCGCTACAACAACCAATAAAAAAAACTGTAGCATTAAATGTGTTGACCCTCCGGTGTGGTGTACACTACTACTTGCAGCAAGTCAGTACACTGTTCCTCTCACACTGATGGCTGTTTGTTAGCCCTGTGGTTGGAGCATGCTACAGTAGGTGAAGACAATTTTGATTCCCAACATGAGCACAATGTATGAGGATCGTCATTGGTTTTATCTTGCTGTGGTATGACTGCAGTGTTGTGTCAGCCCACAGTGCTGATATCGATGGTTCAAACACTTCATCAGAGACATCGAAGATGATACTTGTGACCCAGCACCCGTCATTAGAGTGATGAAGCAAACACTATGGGGCTGAGCGTCAATATATTGCTTCTGAATGTAGTGTCCATGTGAGACTGTGACATGGTAACTCAGTGGGCTTGAACTGTAAAGGGTTGGTGGGGTAGCCTAGTGGTTAAAGCGTTCACTCGTCACGCCAAAGACCTGGGTTCGATTCCCCACATGGGTACAAGTGGAAGCTGCAGTGGCTGAGCGGGTTAGACTTTGTGTGCTGGCAACTAGGTGCCTGACTCTGAGTGTGTGGGATGGAATCCCGGATGGGACTCAACCCTACAAAAGTACTAGAATCTGTACTTTACTGAGAAAGTGTAATCACAAATATAACATATATTACAATGTATGAAGCCTATTTCTGGTGTCCCTTGCCATGATATTGTTGGATTATTGTTCAAAGTGGAGTAAAACTAAACTCACTCACTGGAACTTTAAAGCCATCCTAAGTTCATACTACATACAGTTGTACCAGCAGCCACTCAAACACATGAATTCGTGCCATTATGTCAGTTAAACATCTTTAATGCAATATTAAAACCCAGTCTCATCTCGACTCACTCTTTTTTTCTGTTTTAATTTGAAACTTTGTATTTTTCTCTTTTCAGAATGCCTTAGCAAGGAAGGGCTGATGCAGCAATCATGAGTGCTTATTTGTTAAGACCAGTGTGTGTGCTTTGTAAAAGCCTAGATGTCCGAGGTCCTACTATTTTCGATTTCACATTGAGAACACTACGCTGATGGTTCATCCATTAACAAACACACTGCTTCAAGTGTGTACAAGAGGACCTGGGATCTTTGAATACAAGGATGTTATGTATCACAGAAGAAATTGTGCCTGGTACATTAAAAAGTACTCTGAATGTAGTGATATCTGATACTTGTAAATATTTGTTATTCATCATAAAAGGTTTGTGCCATTATATCAAATACATGGGAATCTAGTCTTTTGTTGTTTCTCATCACAACTTCGTCCCTTGAAGATTCTAAGTTACAATTGGGGGCGGTGGGGTAGCCTAGTGGTTAAGGCGTTCGCTCGTCACGCCGAAGACCCGGGTTCGATTCCCCACATGGGTACAATGTGTTAAGCCCATTTCTGGTGTCCCCCGCCGTGATATTGCTGGAATATTGCTAAAAGCGGCGTAAAACCAAACTCACTCACTCACTCTAAGTTACAATTGGAACATGCTGGTGTGGCCTACTGGATCAGCTGGTAGTGGTGTGCCATGATAATTAATGGATCTTTGCTCATCATGTAAATCATCAGATTGTCTGGAACACAGCAGAAATTATGCTAAAACTAAAGTGAACAGACATCACTAGATCCTTCAAACTGTACAGGTAGCAATCGGAGAAACTCAGAATAATCCAGGTCGACTGTATCTAATACTTGTAAGACCATGCAGGGAATCCATGGCAGGATAACTCTTCAGGCTTGTCTTTAAGATCCAGCAAATTGATATTTAGATGTTCCAGTATGGCAGACTGTTTGTACCATTGCTCAATGACATGTATTCAGCTTGCAGGCTGCCTTTTCCAGGGATATTCCAAGTCAGAACTGTTCCCAGATCAAGAGGTGACTTCATGGAAAAGCTGGTCAGGCCCTTCGGTTTTGTTTATTGCTTGCCAACATTACCTGATTTCATGGAGCCTTGTCAAAATATATCTCTGGAGATTCTGGGGTAGATTATTTATTCACAGGCTGTGGTTATTTGCTTCCTGAAACTGTGGAAATCTAGACTTGCATGGGCTTTCTTGGATATATTTGTTTCAGGATCTGTATGACAGACTAACAGGATGTGTGCCATGTGGTTTAGCACTGTCCTCCATGAAGACTGTTTTAGAGGTCAGATAATGATCATAGATATGTGGTACACCAATAAGTGATGTATCATTGTCCATTCAGATTCTGTCTGAAGGTCGCAGGGTCAAGTTTACAATCACGTGAGAGGCACCCACAGACCATTCATTAACCAAAGACATTCCGTTGTGTATATGTAGTGTTTTTGCGGGCTAAAGGCGTCTGCCATCAGCCATGCAGCAAAGAAATCACTCTCAACACACAAATTCCACATGCTGCTCTGGCGATAACAAAAGGTATAAAAATCGTCTGCCTCAATACCCAGCTGATTTTAGGTGATTTCTGTTGGATTTTAACGTAGACATAGAAAGATGTGGACTTTTTGGGGAGGTGGGGTGTGGGTTTGTGTGTGACAAATTTAAGATATTTGTATCAAACTTTACATTGCACCTTTCCCATATATAAACAAAACAAAAACAAAAAAACATATCAAAATATAAAAACAGTCCATCACATCATTATAAAGTTATTGGTTGTACAAAATTGCCGTGGAAATGTTCCTAAGTTCAAGAGATGTAAATTGTGTTAATTCTTGTCAAATAAAACTATCGTTAAAGCAATTTGCACTGCACCTCTCCTATAGATACGGAAGGTGATCCCCAGATATGATCCATGAAAAATCAATTATTGGTATGCGGAATGCTGGCATGTCATCGAGGGCTGTTGCAAGAACTGTTGGTTTTCATCCATCCACGATCAGCTGACTGGCCAGAAAACACGAGCAAAGCAAAATGAGCAGTTGATCACAGGATTGTCTGGTCCCGATTCGATTATTTACAGACCGTCGCCATATGGCTGGAAATTTGTTGAATGCAGGGTTAAATGACAATCAATCAATCAAAGCATACACATAAAGCAGGTTGTCAATTGTAGCCTTTGTTTGTCTGGGTGTTTTACAAAATTTCATTTATTTCGTTTTCATGGCAACAAGTTTGACTGCTGCCTTTGTTCGTTTGGGAATTTTACAATTTTTCATTTTTCACTTTGGCTCATTTCATAGGGGTGCCCTTGTCCGGACTATATCACCGAAACTGTTGGCATTTATTCATGGAACTTCGCAAGTGCCACAGTCAGAATTTTTTTATCTCCTAATTAGGTGATACTATCTCCTAATTAGGACTTAATATCTCCTAATTAGGACTTAGCTATCTCCTAATTAGGTGATACTATCTCCTAATTAGGACTTAATATCTCCTAATTAGGACATAGCTATCTCCTAATTAGGTGATACTATCTCCTAATTAGGACTTACTATCTCCTAATTATCTCCTAATTAGGACTTAGTATCTCCTAATTAGGTGATACTATCTCCTAATTAGGGTGATAGCTATCTCCTAATTAGGACATAGCTATCTCCTAATTAGGGATACTATCTCCTAATTATCTCCTAATTAGGACTTAGTATCTCCTAATTAGGACTTAATATCTCCTAATTAGGACTTAATGATCTTATAAATAAAGTCAACCAGTAGTCATTCACTTCTTCTGTTTGGGTTTAGCATCTTGGATGAAGTCATGGATGAAAGCATATGCATTTGTTTCATGTTGGGCATGCACTATTCTGAAATTGTGTCTTGTTTGGCCCATGTAAATGGCATCATTATCAGCATGAAGACTTTGAAAAGGAAATCAAAACGACTGAATCTGTTTAGGCGAAGACATAATAGTGATATTGCAGAAGTTGCTATGTTCGTAGTGAAAGTGAGTGAGTGAGTATGGTTTTACGCCGCTTCCAGCAATATCACGGCCAGGGACCGTAGTGAAAGAGGTAGAAGAATCAGGACAAATGTGTGCTTACAAGCTTATGTATCTGAAATGCATACAAGAGGGATTCATTATCAGTCAAGACATGGTGCTTCATTTGCTGCATTTAGTAGTGGCAGAAATGAGAGTACAAGAACACCCAACTGCATGTACTTCCATAGAGATCGGGTAGCCTCCCTGAATGTGAGAGGCTACCACACAAATGACGTCACTAGGAGGAATCCCCCTTGTTTCCTGTATAGCATGGCCGACGCCAAGTTGAAAAAAACTCAAGTAGTCCGTTTGTGTAATGACACATGCCTGCACAAATGCAACTTTATAGAGCGAAATAAACAATGACAACATACAACTTCTATACACAATATTTAATATCCCCGTGCATGCAGAATGGACATGGGTAGCAGAGCCTCCCCAAGCCACCCTTACAATCTATATACAGATGTCTCTTGAAATATACAAATACACTTTACACATCTCTCTACCATGTGGTGGTGTCTGGTGGTATGTGGTGGTGATGGTGGTGTGTGGTGGTATGTGGTGGTGGGAGATGGTGATGGTGATGGTGATGGTGATGGTGGTGGTGGTGGTGTGGTGGTGTGGTGGTGTGGTGGTATGTATTTGTGTGTGTGGTGGTAGTAGTGGTGGTGGTGCTGTGTCTGCTGCTGCTGCGGCTGCGTCTGCGTCGTCGTCAGCGTCAGTGGAACCACATTTTGGCATTCATCAGAATGTTTGACTCTCATGTGTATCTTCAAATTATAGGGGCGGTGGGTTAGCCTAGTGGTTAAAGCGTTGGCTCGTCACTCCAAAGACCCGGGTTCGAATCCCCACATGGGTACAATGTGTGAAGCCCATTTCTGGTGTCCCCCGCCATGATGTTGCTGGAATATTGCTAAAAGCGGTGTAAAACCAAACTCAGTCAGTCAGTCAGTCTTCAAATCATAAGACCATGTATAAGTATTTCCACACAAAAAAACAGATATCCATCTTGATGTTTCTCCTCAAAAGGTCAGTGACAGAACAACAAGGTTCTGGGCTAATCATACCTCCATTCATTGGCTCTTCTCTGATTCTCCAATGACCATAGGCCAGACTGGTTACACCATCTTCGGGAAGATATCGCTTGTCATTGAAGGGAGACGACCAAATATCAGTGCATAAAATGGGGTAATATGGGAAATGCTAATGTGATTGCTGTGATTGCACGTGTAAAAAATGACTGTAAAACTTAGTGATAACGTTTTGTTTGTTTTTATAAACATGGTTTACAATATAGTTGTGCAAGACGATTTGAAAGGTAGGCCTACTAACCCACTGACCTAGTTATACAGGTCACGTCTGTTGTACATAGCCAGGCGTGTATGCACAGGCTAAGACTCGAAATATATTATTGGATACAAGTGGACAGACATTACACTATATATAAAACTATGTATAAACCTGGGACAGCCTTCTGTTCAGTTGGGAAGACGTATGAATGTAGCCTGTTACAGATTCGTAGGACAGTAAGGACTGTGTTTATATGACAAGGCATGCTTACATGACGATCTGAAAAAATGTGACTGTTGATCTCATAGATTATATGGATTATGCGATACTGTGGATAAATAATAATGAACAGGTGACGTCATTGGCGTTGGGTGTTCTGGTACTCTTATTTCTACCACTACTAAATGCAGCAAAGACGCACCGTGTCTTGACTGACAGCGAATCCCTCTTGTATGCATTTCAGATGCATAAGCTTGTAACCACATATTTGTCCTGATTCTTCTATAACATATGTTATATTTGGGATTACACTTTCTTAGTAAAGTACAATTCTAGTACTTTTGTTGGGTTGGGTCCCATCAGGGATGGCATCCAATCGCCAGCCATCCGATCGCCAGCACACAAAGTCAGCCGGCTCACCCACCGCGACTTCCAGCCACCGCTGGCGATTAGGTGCCTGACTCTGAGGGTGTGGGTTCGAAACCCGGATGGGACTCAACCCGACAAAAGAACTAGAATTTGTACTTTACTAAGAAAGTGTAATCCCATATATAACTAAGGTTACATCTGACCACTTTCTAAATGGCACTGTGTAATCACTGATTCTGCTACCTCTTCTACCTCTTTCACTAGTATGTCTTCGCCTACACAGTTTCAGTCGTTTTGATTTCCTTTTCAAAGTCTTCATGCTGATAATGATGCCATTTACATGGGCCAAACAAGACACAATTTCTGAATATTGCATGCCCAACATGAAACAAATGCATATGCTTTCATCCATGACTTGATCCAAGATGCTAAACCCAAACAGAAGAAGTGAATGACTACTGGTTGACTTTATTTATAAGATCATTAAGTCCTAATTAGGAGATATTAAGTCCTAATTAGGAGATACTAAGTCCTAATTAGGAGATACTAAGTCCTAATTAGGAGATACTAAGTCCTAATTAGGCGATAGTATCACCTAATTAGGAGATAGCTATGTCCTAATTAGGAGATATTAAGTCCTAATTAGGAGATAGTATCACCTAATTAGGAGATAGCTAGGTCCTAATTAGGAGATATTAAGTCCTAATTAGGAGATAGTATCACCTAATTAGGAGATAGCTAGGTCCTAATTAGGAGATATTAAGTCCTAATTAGGAGATAGTATCACCTAATTAGGAGATAAAAAAAATTCTGACTGTGGCACTAGGACGCTTCCGTACGGAGATCATTTCGTTTTCATGGCAACAAGTTTGACTGCTGCCTTTGTTCGTTTGGCTTTTTTTTCAGAAATTTTGACTGACTCATTTCATAGGGGTGTATTTGTCCAGACTACATGTCTGAAAATATGAACTTTGCATTCAGAGAGATGAGGCTGTGAACTAGTGCTTTCTGCAATTTAGGCTTGTTTAGAATGTACTGTTTTGTTTTCGTTTTCGTGGCCCAGTTCACAGTGATATATTTTACCTGAGCATATCACAAAACCTACCGCAGGTCTCTACTGCAGAATGGCCAAACCGTAACCAGATACATTCAATTCTTGTCAGATATTAGTTATTGTGCTGCATCAATTTACTCACGTCTTTCCTAAACAGGACCTGACACAGACATACGAAATTCCGAATGCCAGTTCCATTGTATTGTTTTGATAGCTCAATAACTACTCTTGTCTACGGACAGACAGAATAGATAGGAATAGTCTCAGCAAGTTGGACAAATAATTCTTGTCGGTCTTTGATGTAACAATCAGATGATTTGTACTTTCGAATTTACAGGGGCTTTGCAATGTTGTTGAAAAGTTGACCGTTGTGGTGGTCAGTTTAAACATTTCAGCAGCACACATTGTGACTTAAACGTACAAATGACAAATTCAGCTTAGAATTTTGGGCCTACTGGCCCACCGCACTTTATGCGATGAAGCTAATAGTAACTTTCTCTGAACCATCTCCTCAAATGTAACGTCATTTATATACATGGGACCCGTGACGGTCCGGGTTAGAATTGGCCTTCTGTATAACCCATGCTTGTCGTAAGAGGCGACTAACGGGATCGAGTGGTCAGGCTCGCTAACTTGGTTGACGCATAACATCGGTTTCCAATTGCGCAGATCGATGCTCATGCTGTTGATGATTGGATTGTCTGGTCCAGACTCGATTTTGTACAGACCGCCGCCATATAGCTGGAATATTGCTGAGTGCGGCCTAAAACTAAACTCACTCACTCCTTATATACATGGGGATCTCGATAGCCAGATTTTCCATTAATGTTTCATATACTCATGCCAATAATGGTTGTCACCCTTCAATTTTTAATTTGAGAGAGGGATGGGGGTTGGGGGTGGGGTAGGGGGTGGGTGGGGGTGGGGGGTGTGTGGGGTGACAACCATTATTGGCATGAGTATATATACATTCCCAGACCTTCAATGTACTTGATCTTTACGAATCTAATGAAAGATAGAAATATTTTCTCTCGTCAGATAGACAGAATACACGTAACTTGTTTTAATAAACTATCTTTGGATAACTGCATAAAAAGACAACAAAGAACACAGTGAATAGTCTGGGAACTACAAATTACATGTACACCTTCTACAAGGAGAAACCGACATTGTTGAATTTTAAATTTTGTGTGACATTCACATGCATTCATACAGGATCCTCATTATCAGTTAGATGGCATACATATGTTTCAGGTTCAAGAATTGTTGTAAAAAAAACTAAGTATTTTAAAACGTAGAGCTAGTAAATTTATCATCGCAAGTCATATATTGCGTTTCCATGATCGATGCCCATGCTGTTGATCACTGGATTGTCTGGTTCAGACTCCATCATTTACATTTTATTGACATATAGCTGGAATATTTCTGAGTGTGTCGTTAAACAATAAACAAAACAAAACAAAAAGTGAAGTCAGTGATGATGATAGCATTCAAGCAGCAACAGTTGACAAGCGACCCAGGATGAAAATAACGATTTTCACATGGCTGCTTGTCTAGATGTCAGGTGAGGTGAGGTGAAATTGGGTTTAACGTCGTGTTTGAGAATATTTCGCTCATCTTAGGGTTTACTTGAAGATTATTTCAGCACAACGTGACATGCATGCATGTGTGTGGGTGCAAGTGGACTTTATAGAGTGGTCAGTTTGATAGTGCTTTATCACTGAGATATGATGACACAGTTTATAATGGGTGTCTGACTCGGATATATTTTACTGACTTAGAGCAACTGAGTGAGCAGAGAAGGGGACGCATAGTTCAACACTGTATTCTAGCCACATCAGAAAATAAGGGTGAGGTGAGGTGAGGTGAGGTGAGGTGAAATTGGGTTTAACGTCGTGCTTGAGAATATTTCGCTCATATGATGACGTGCATGCGTGTGTATGTGTATGTGCGGCTGCTTGTACTAGCCCAAACTGAAGCTGGTTTTATAGTGCTAGCCCACTGAGATACCATGCCGCAGTGAAGCATGAATACCCCACTCAGACACATTATACTGACTACAAGCCGACCAGTCCTTGTTGTACCCATTAATGCCCAGCGCCAGGCAGGGACCAACAAGTACCATATTTTAAGGTCTTTTGGTATGACGCGGTCGGGGATCGAGCCCGCGACCTTCCGCTCTCCGGGCGGACGCTCTAACCACTACACCACGGAGGCGGTCCTAGATGTCAGGTGAGACTACAGACGTGTGCGCTTGCCGCATATATTGTCTTTAAAATCTTCCAGAAAGACTATATTATGCTGGATTTATATATGCTGTTCCACAAGATTCCAGATTTTACCCACGACCTAAAAGCATCTGCCTCCAATTAACCCTAGACATCGGTAACGCATTTATCGTACTCGCTGTTATACATATTGACACAACAGATGATAATTATTTTCAAGATATGTTTGACTACTTTCAGACTGAAATACAACGATTGAAATATGTTTGTTTTTATTTCAAGCTATGTTGTTGTGTCATACGTTATGCTGTGGCATGTAAGCCTTTTATCAATATTTCAGTATGAGTGTGTTTTAATTGTTCTGAAGACAGAGATAAAGATCATACTTTCAGTTTAGAATGTTAACACGACACAACACTAGTCAGGACGAGCACATTAACTAAAACTTCTAAAGGTGATCATATATTCATTTCAGGGAATATGAAAAGACATTGTTGTGATTTTCAGGAATTTTGTTAAATCCCTAGGAATTCCAGGGATTTTGTGAAACCACCGAGTGAATCATGAATTTTATAAAATCCCTGAAATATTCAAAACAAAATCACTGTTTGACATATTCGCTGTGACATTTACAAATGTATCCTATAGTCCGGATGCCGTATAACGTATGTATCACATGACCGTCACATCTCGCAGTTATCTACCATACCTACTGATTCGTTGACTTCCTGCTGCAACTTCAAGAATTTCGCGGACTTGCAAGTCCGCAGCTAGACTAACTGTATCTGGAAGTATATGATGTTATAGAATCACATAACTGAAAAGGACACCAGCGAGAGTGAAGACCTAGAACCGGAACCTGAGGAAAATCTCGAGTTGCCTCTCACAGGGCGTTTGTTGTGACCTTATATGTAGAATGGGCTTCTACATTTAAGGTCACAACAGGCGTTAGGTGGAAGAGGTGGAAGAAAATTTTATGCTTCAGAGACTGTGGGACAAAGTAGTCCGCAGCAAAGGTTCTACTTTGAAAAAAGCATCAAGCCTTTTTTTTATTCTTGTAGATGGTAACATATACACTCTTCAAAAAGAAAAGAAAAGCATAGGTCATTTTGAGACAAATACAAAACAATACAAATATATATTTATTTGTTGTAAACAACCAAAACGCGGCACCTTTTTGTGTGATTATAGAAGCGTTAGAAGAAATATTCGCCAAAAAGTCACCAACAAAACATGCAAAGCAAAATACACGTGCAGGTAAGCGGAAAAGCATGCAATATCGATCACTATGAAAAGACAAACGTTGTGTTTAATTTTGTCATTCGTTTTGCCTGGAAAGGAGGAAATCATCATACCACGACTGAGTGCCGCCAATCGAAACATCACCATAGGCCGCCTTGACGCTGTGGAGTCGCAGTCTGCAGCTGCCCGACATTTCAACGTTCATCAGAGCACCATATCTCGCCTTTGGGAGCCATGGAGACTAGTGTTGGGAATTGGTTAAAATCTCATAATTGATGATTGGTTCATTACAACCGATCAATCATCGAAAATAATTGGTTAGCGTCTTTTATTAAATTTGTTAAAGGTCACATGCAACCAAAAAATCAAACATAATTAAAACACAATTATCACTTATTCATGACATATAATATACATTGCTGGTTACGAAAAAATATATAAACAAAATTATAAGCGTACAATCGCAAATCGAAAGTGCAAAATTGTGTACTTGGGTTTACTTCCCAAGAAACGAAGCAGCCGGGATACCGAACCCAGTCAGAGCGGGTGGGTGTGCACTCAAGTGTAACGGCTGGTTCATTTGCAGATGCCTTCACGGCTAATTGTGTGTATATATATATATATATAGATGTTGGGTTTTGTAAATACATGCTCATTTTTTGTGTATAACATTTTGCAATCAACAGACATCATAACATGTCATGTGTTGAAGTATCACACCTGCCTGTCTGTGTAATTACATAATGTGACAGAGACCGAACTCGGGCCATAAATCAATGCATTTTGTTTATGGTGTATAGCCTGATTGGTGTTAAGTTCAAATTGCATGTGGTCAGTGATAGCAGCTGTGTATTGAATATTGTCATTAGCAGACAGGCAGACACACAGGTGTCAATAAAACAAGACATTGAGTTTTGTCTGTGACAACGACATATCTATATCACAGTTTAGGGCTTCAACGAGTCCATTTTTTTGGACTCGAGTACTCGAGGGGTGAGACTCGACTCGGACCCGAGTACTCGAAATTCATACCTTTCAAGCAAACGATCAATTGTCAAGATAGTTACCTAATCATTTTAAGAAGTGAAATCTCAATCGATGTATAATATTTACTCTCATATGCAGACTTGTAACAACTAATACCATACAGCCACACCGTGTGAGGAGTAAACTATGTAATCTAGGTGTTAATAAAAACATTATCAGATGGGTTAAAGAATTCAGGGTACATAGAACTCAGTATGTCAGTGTCAATGGCTATCAATCTTCTTTTCTCTCAACCTCTACTGGAGATCCACATGGCTGTGTTCCTTCATCCGTACTCTTCGTTTTGTATACCAATGACTGTTACTTGTCAATATATGACTTGTTTACTGTGAAATTTGCAGATGACGCCACTGTTACTGGCCTAATTTCTGATTCTGAACATTATTATCGTCAAGGCATTGACAAAACCGTAATGACAGTTTTTTATCAAACCTTTATTCAAAGTGTGTTGACCTACAATTTTCTATGTTGGTATGGGGATCTGTCTCATCTTAACAAAAACAGACTTTTCAAAATTGTTAATACTGCTTGCAACATTTCTGGAGTGTATTTCGAGTATAGTCAAAAAGACAGCTAAAATTAGATTTGATAGTTGACATATTTGATCTCACCATTTTGAACTACTTCCTTCTGGACGCTGCTGTCGATTACCTTCCCTCAAAACAGAGCTCGACAGTCTTTCATACCATCAAGTATTCGTGAATGCAACAAATATTTTGAATCACCATCATGTGATTAGAACTAGAATTATTCAGCCTCTTTACCTATGTGGTTAATTGAATTATATCATGTCAGTTTTATTTGTAAATAGCATTCGTTTTGAGCATGTAATTATTGTGTATATTTTTGTGAACTGTGTATATATTTATTTTGAGACAGTTTGGATGTATGAGAATTTCCTCCGGGATAATAAAGTTATATCTTTTTCTTAATATTAGACGTTAACGGCCGCTCATGCTTAGCACATGGCAGACAGTCCGTCAACGGCAATAATTCGAGTTATCTCCCCTTTTCGAGTCCTCGAGTCCTTGAAAATGGACTCGAGTCCAGCTAAACCCGACTCGTCCTCGAGTACTCGAGTACCCGTGGAAGCCCTATCACAGTTAGAAATTCTGTCAACGCTAAATAATGACATTGCTTTTAAGTATCGAACTGAGAAAGTGTCTCGGTAAGAAGAACGTGTGGTGAAATAGACAAATGAAATTATATAAACAGTTAATTTACTGTCATAACATATAAAAAGCTCGCGCCTGTGAGATATCAACAAAACATTAGAAAAATAGCTCACACCAAAGCCTTCACCGAGTATTCACCCGACAACCCGCTTCCAAGCTGCGCGAACCTATTTACTTGCGCACGTGCTATGAGCGCAGCCCAGCTGTTGAAACCCGTTTTCTCCAGAAAAGTCTGGGGAAAATTAGTGAAACGTTTGAACTCCGATTCGCGCGTTTTTTTTCATCGGGTTATTTTTCAACTTTATAAGTTGAATTTGCATTTTTGACGATTTGTTTCGGTATGTCCATACCGAAAGGTATCAGAATCTGCAAAGTTGTGTTTTACGTTGCATGGTAAATATGCTGTGTGTATACAAAGGCTTAGTAAAGACATATAGGATAATATCTTATAAATTTAGGATAATATCTTATAAATGATCTGCTTGAAACAAGATACAGGGAAATGGGTATTTGTGATGGTAACGAAATAATCCAACAAAGAATGAAAATTCCATTCCTGTTTACTGTTAGAATCATCTGAGTACTGGGACTATGCCAGAGTCAAATCAATGTGCAGTGTCTAACTGAAGTACTAACACAAAAAGTAAGGAAGAAAACATGTAGTTCTGTGGGGTTTTTGGGCAAAATTACACATCTTTAAAGGATGACTAGTATGTTAGGAACATAAATTTCTTAGAGTCTTTAAGATAAATTCAATCACGAGCTTGTAGTGCTTATGAAATATAACAGACAAACCAACCTAGTGAAAAATACTGTTAATGAAAACAAGTCCTTAGTGTTCCAGAATTGTTTGTGTTCGATTATGAGAAAACATGATCAATTGCTTGGTCGTTTAGTCACTTCGACCAGTCTTCGATTATTTCAATTAATCGGACCACCACTAATGGAGACTGCACTACGCATCCCTGGTTTCAGAAGAATTTCCCACCAAACTGTCAGGAATCGATTGCGTGAAGTGGAGATTCGATCAAGAAGGCCAGTTGTGGCCCCTGTTTTGAGAGACTTCCATCGGCGCTTGCGGTGGTGTCGCAGAGTCCGGAACTGGAACCTTAGAAACTGGAGGTGAGTCTGGTTCAGTGATGAATCACGATTTCTTCTTCACCGGCGAGATGGAAGACAGCCTGTTTGCATTCGACAGGTCGACAGATTCGGTGTTGGAAGTGTCATGGTGTGGGGTGATATATCCAGCATACAAAGATCTGATTTAGTGGTTACCAGGGGAATTTGACAGACACTCGGTACATCAACAAAGTCCTTGCACGTTACATGCATCCGATTATGGACCGACATAGGGAGTTGTTCCAGCATGACAATGCTACTTCACATACAGCTGCCTGGCCAACGGTTCTCTGCCTGGCCAATTCTGACATGAATGTCTTCCCATGGCCTTCCCGATCACCAGATCTAAACCCGAAAGAACACCTATGGGATTAACTCGATCGATGTGTGCGTCAACATCAAAACACGCCTCAGACACTTCCACATTGCAGGGAGAGTGGGGAAGAATTCTACAAGAGCGACTTCGTCGACATCCAATCAGTGCCGAGCACAGGGGCGTGTCACGCTTAGAAACAGCGTTAGAAAGACATATAGGTATATAGACCCTACCCAAGTACTATATATTACTAGGGTAGGGTCTATATACCTACTTTGAGTATATGTCTTTCTAACGCTGTTTCTAAGCGTGACATGCCCCTGTGGTGCCGAGACGGTGCCGAGCAGTAATTGCTGCAAACTGTGGCCATACAAAGTACTGACTTTGACGCCATCTTGTGGACTCAAGTAAACAGAAACACAACAATAAAGGCTGTTGTGTTGGCGAACTCTTTGTCTATAGACATGTGAATTTTCACTTTCATACCATTGAGATTACATGAAATAATTGCTCTTAAACTAACGCAATAAATTCTTTAAAAATGGTTAATGCGTTTCTTTCTTTTTATAAAGATGGTATATCTTTGCAGATACAAATGTCCAAGAATTGAGTTGCAATATACAAAACAAATGTGAAAAAGATCGCAAGAAACGATTAATACCATACCCGTATTTAGTGGGTTTATCATTGTGAAACAGATTTATTTTTTAAATATAGAAATAAAATAGCAACTATTAGCTGTTACAAGCGTGACTTATGTAACTGCTAAATAGGAGTTTCAGCAAGTCTATGTCAGATTCTTTAACAAAGGGACGGTACTCTTGATGTGTTCTGTTTGAGCCAATCAGTGGAAAGGCACTGTGCAAATGGCCGCGAAACATTTAAAATTGCGCCCAGCTATGTGAGAAGGACCTTGTAACCTGCATGTCATATCTAATATCTTCTGTTTGTCATTTCCTAGAATGCACGACGTTTGAACAGGAATCACTTTGAGGATAAGAAGCATATAATGGCGGATGGCGAGCATGATGTACGTGTAGCATGCCTGTCCGGGATCTTGGATTTGCAACGTGTTTGTCAAAAGGAAAACCTGCAGTTTTCACCCGAAACCAACAAGTTCCTTGTTTACCAGACTTTGAAAAAGGTCGGACCATGGACAGCACAAAAGCTCATAAGTAAACGTAAGTATGTATGTTAAAATTAAGAGCTATCATCTATGGTCAGCGATTCTGAGCTTGGTTTGCATACACCTGCTGTTGTCGATCGACATTAGTCCCCGATCTTAGGTCCAGAACTTCTAAAGTACACTCCAAACTACGCCTTAGGAATGAGAATATGTAAGCTATTAACTCCGTTCATTTTAATGACAATACATGCTAGTAGTTGTGGTTTATGACGACCCAAGACACCGCGATCAATATGTGCCTTTATCAATTATTCAATAAAGACGTTATATTTAGAATGACATTTATCAGAATATCAGTAACCTTTACAAACATTGTGAATTTATAATTGTAGTTCTAGTAGAGGTCTTCGGATTGCCTTGAACCAGTTGACTTGACCATTAAATCGGTCATGGTCGGATGATCTGTCCAAGTGATTGGTGAACAAGACCTACATTTGATTAGTTATATTTTTATATGCACCTGTACCTGTATGCTGGTCACATGTTTGGCCCATCTGTTACTTTGTGTTTGTCAGCCTGAAGCTTTTTTCACAATACTTTCTCCAGAGATAAATACAACTACTGCTTTCTTGACATTCTGTGTGCGGAAATCTGAAGGCACTTCCATAGCTGGTTGTGCCAGGGGAACTTGCTAAGCAGCAAATTACTTTTCAATTAGCATCATATGTTATGATTCTTGGTGTGCCTGAGCAAACTGCCTTGTTGCTCCAAACTTGTATTGCTGTAGATAGTTTACTCATTCTGTCCTTTCTGGACTACTGAAGGTACCGGTAACCTCGCGATATTCGCGCACCTAACACGTTTCTGCGCTGTATGCAGAATTAACAAGGCCCGTGAAAATCAACAATTATGCAAACCATTATCAATATAAAATGTTTATAAAAACATAAGTTTCAGCCTTTGACACTTCGCTATCGTTGTGCGCTACGTCATCTATTTTCGTGATAGCTAAAATCCGGACAAACAGTATGGCGAATAGTTTATGCCAACAGCTGATAATGATGTAACATTGAAGTTCATTTCTTACAATGCTGATGAGAAAGTTTTTGTCAAGAAATATTCAGAATTTGTCTACTTTTGTCTATCTTAATAAACAAAACCCTTTTAAACAAGTAAATGCAGGAATACGAAGACGACTTCATGTTTACAAACACAAACTCTGACGTCATGACTTTATTTGTAGCGACCGCGTGAACCCGGAAATGATAGGTGCGCGAAAATAGATGTCTGCAAAGTTACATTACGCCAGGATCTATGTGTTTTTGGTTGCTTCATTTGTCAGCTCTTAAAGGTCGAATTTTCTCAATCAGGGTGTTAAATAGACTATGAAACTTTTAAGAGACCTGCTCATACATCCATTATTTTTTATGTAGATTTCTCGGGGTTCACATGACATGATTAAGGGAGGTGACGCAGGCCTTCAAGTTGGATCTCAATTTAATAAGTTTGTGTGTTACTTTCACTATAGTGAGACGACTTGTGTCACACAGACATTGAAAGTACATGAATGATGGCTTGTGTGTAAGATGAAGTTTTCTTTAAAAAATAGATCACGTTTCATAATTGAGGAAACAACGTTGGTTTTTAAATGTGGAGAAACCTGTAACATTAGGGTAACATGATGAATGGAAAACTCATCATGAATATTAGCAAAAAGATACTCTAAATGTAACTACTTTGGAGTGAGTGAGTGAGTTTAGTTTTACGCCGCACTCAGCAATGTCCCAGCTATATGGCGTCGGTCTATAAATAATCGAGTCTGGACCAGACAATCCAGTGATCAACAACATGAGCATCGATCTGCGCAATTGGGAACCGATGACGTGTCAACCAAGTCAGCGAAACTGACCACCCGATCCCGTTAGTCGCCTCTTACGACAAGCATAGTCGCCTTTTATGGCAAGCACATGGGTTGCTGAAGACCTATTCTACCCCGGATCTTCACGGGTCAACTACTTTGGAAGAAAGATTCAATGATACATGACACCACCACTGTTGACATTGTTAGTTCATTACCTCATTCAAACAAGTTTTATATCTTCATTTTTCACAATATATTCCCTGCACCCATTTACTATTAGAGCTTTGTTTGGACAAGACCACAACCATTTTACAATAGCTGTTTTAATTAATGATTGAGTATATTGGCAGAGATCACCAGTTTTGATTAGCTTTGTTGTGCGGTATCTCATCTGGGAATATATAGAGAATATACTACACAAGGTCTCATTACATACAAATTAAACGGAACGAGTGTCCTTCCTATGGTACCTGACCAAGCAAAAGCGAGGTCAGAAACCATAGGAAGGTCACGAAGTTTCATATAATTTATTTATTACCCACATCTTACATGCATTAAATTGACAAGATAGCATATTTTTTGTTATTTTTATGGTTTCAAACCGAAACCGGTTTCATAAAGAGGTTGCGGAAGAATTTTGTTCTGTTTTACACTTTTTGCATGATGTCACACTGTATTGATGTCACTACGCCATTCTCGTCTGCCCCTTTGGTAACCGACGTCACGATGCATGTCTGTTATCATCGCCTTGTACAGCCTCCCACAGTAAACTACTCAGTAGCACCCCATTTCGGTTTGCAGTTGCTTCATTTGGCTAACATCAGTGGTGGAAATATTGTGTTTATGTTTTCCGAAGGATATTTCTCAGTTCGACTCACAATTAAACAGCAATACGGAACGTTAAGCGCAATGTTTACATTCCCACAATGCATATAAGTTTTAGAATGAATGAATTCACGTGTTTGTTATGAATGAAAAGTAATTGAGAAGTGATCGGTTATCCAATCAAATCGTTAGAATCTCAGGTCAAGTCGTTACAACACAGGTCAACGTGGTACAACACTCGTGTGACGTATGATATTAGTATGCAACTACCCATACGTTGACCACGTGGGTATTAAATTGTAGCACTACCTCCCACCAGTTGCCGTAGTACTCAGGAAAGCATCATTTACATCTAAGGGTTCAAATACGAGTTGTCTGATTTGATTCAAGATATCTGATGCATCCTGGAACTAAATTGTAGTGTTTAAGTTTGCTCCATAGTTTTCATTAAAGATGTTTTGAATGGTTGTTCAAATCCAACTGATGGGTTAAATATGTTAAAGCAGGGAACATTTTGGACCATGCCTTACGTGCATAGACATATGAAATAGTGCTATAAAAATACCATCAAGATGCACATTTTCCACTTTCCAGCACACTGTATATATCCTGTAAAACACTATATATTTATATCAACACTGACAGTGTTCACGAATGGTGTTTCAAAGTAACAGGACATGGGTCCTGTAAGTCTCACATTTCAGATTTAACGTTTCTTATAATTGGCATTGGAATTATTAACAAACATAAGATTTATAAACAGCAGACAAGTTTCACATGTCACATATAAAAATATAATTATAACAACTTCAGTCAAAGTCATTGTGAAAATATATACAGTCAGACACTGGGGCCGGCAGGTTGTAGACTTTTATCGGACCGTTGGCGAATCTGCCGGATTTGTCAGAGGGTCAGATGCTATTCGTGAACACTGATACTGCATATGTTTCCTCCATGTCAAGCTTCCACTGTAAATTGTACATCCCCATTATGTAATATCATGTTCAACTGTATTTAGGGAGAAGGCGACCATAAGTGGTGCACTTGTGCCTAATCCCGTTGTCTTTAGACAATAAGATATGTTTAAACTAAACCATCATGCCTTTAGGTCGTACAGTGTTCACGAATAGCGCCTGACCCTCTGACAATCTGCAGATTCGCCAACGGTCAGACAGAAGTCTACAACCCGCTGGCCCCAGTGTCTGACTGTATATTTCACAATGACTCTGACTGAAGTTGTTTTATGTGACATGTGACACTTGTTTGCTGTTTATAAATCTTATGTTTGTTAATTACAATGCCAATTATAAGAAATGTTAAATCTGAAATGTGTGTTTAATTTTTATTCCATGGGTCCTGTGCATTTTCAAAGGGTCAGACAGACATCTTAAACTTACAGGACCCAATGTCCATGACTTTAGGTCGTATATTGATTCTGTATGGCACATCAAGATTTAACACCTGTGCCATCATATGAAATAAGCTGTATTCAGTTGGTTTAACCATGTTCGTGTTGTGCTGAGGATAGGGTTGATGAAGACCACTCAGTCAGCCATTTTTTTTATCTTAGGTTTGGTATTGATAAACGAGAATGTGTTTCTACTAGTCCTGTTAAGATTCATTCACGTATTTGGTAAATTGAACAGTATCCCTTTATGAATTTATTAATTATTTGTGGTCAGGCCTAATTTTTTTTTTCTTGAATTCTGGTGTTGACCCTATTTTTTTAAAGTGGTATGAATAAAATAAGTTTTCGGATAACATTGTTTTTCCCAGCACCGACAGACATCAGCCATTCTGATAGAGAAAGTTGACATGATGGTAGACTAAGGCTTAGTCTCTGAATATATATAATTTTGATAGTAACAAACAAGCCCATTTAAATTGAAAAGGAGCCCTAGGGAGACCAGAGATTCAGAACCTGGGGAAAACTAGACTTGCTTCGTTTAGGGCTTTAGCACTACAGGGAAGGCTAGGCTGTAGGGAAAATAATGTGGTTCAGGGACTGTGAGACAGACTAACATGATGGCTGCAAGCTTGATTAAATAAACAATTACACATTGATAAATGTGTTATTAGTTTGTACTTTTCATCTAAGAAAATATGTTTGGAAAAATAAAATTCCTTTCCACCTACCCTAAATTTTAAAGAGGTGTATTCGGAACCACAACATTTTTTTTGTTTGGCCTCATTAGTATAAAATATTTACAAATGTGTTTAGGAAAGTGTTTTCACTTCGAACTAGCTTATTCAGAGATGCCAACCCTTACGCTTTCGGCATAATTATTACGATTTAGACCATTAAATTATGCCATTACACTCGTTTATAATCTGCGTAAAAATTACAGGGCTGTTTCTACTCGTTTTATGAAAATCAATAAAGTGGGTAAAATTTCACATGGGGAAGTGTTTCATTTAACGCACAGGTGCAGGGGTTCAGAAATGACCTTGCACTGATAGGAATCGCTTACTCTTAGCATCGCACTCATTCCAATTAACTTGCAAGGAATTAAAGTATTTTGAGTCACACGACCAACAATTTTCGATTTATGGAGCTTCATAATGATTGGTCACATGTGTTTCTGTCTAGAATCTTCCTTTCGTGAAAATGTGTACCATGTTGAAGCGATCGGCAGACAAGTATTACACTTTTTAGGTCCAAAGTACACTTTTTGACCTCTAGTATTACACTTAGGCCCAAAATAGGGTTGGCATCTCTGCTTATTGTTTATGTAAGTCAGATTTACAAAATGGAATGTTTCCAAGCCATGCAGTAGTGTAACTTGTGTTATTTTGAAGTGGTTGCCTCATAACACTGTCATTAGGCTATAAGCGGCATTGTTCCAGATGTTTTGCATTTTTTTGTGTATAATAGAAAATATTAATTAAGTGTTTTAATTTCAGCAATTGCATGATGTTTGTTATTTTAATTCCTAGATATTAACGATAAAGTATTCATGAATAAACATTCGCATTTGTTACTATATATTCATCAAACATTATTCGTTACATAGTGTAATTGTTTCAGCCTTAATTTCAACATACACTTCCATATACATGATATATGTCCAGATTATCATACAATGCATCATTTGGCGGCGCAGTGTTGACTGCCACAGGCTAATTTGCATATGGCATGACCAGGACCAGGCTATTCTCTTATTTGTAAACGAACACTCTTATTCTGAAATCAGAACTGACTGTTTTTATGCAATCCATTCAATGTGCTTTACATATTGTTATATATAATTATATAGATATGCTTCAACAACTGCAACAGTTGAGTGATGTGAAAAGATATATTTAGACATCCAACTGACCGCATCACAGTTTTCTGTGTTAGTCCGATGACAGGAAGTGGAACCATACAACCAGTGTAAACAAAGGATAACCACTCAAAAGGGAAATAGTTTTTCAATGCTTAGGATATTTCCTTAGTGGAAGTAAACCATTCTGTGTCATATTTACCTAGATAGTAGATTCATAAATGATGTAACATACAATAAACACATGCAATATGGCTTGAATGGACTGGATCCGATATGACGAAACATTACAAGGCGCTGGCCTCTGGCAGAGGTACTATGTTGGCTGGAACTCTGGGTAGGAGAGTGGAATATTCATTGGACTCCAGGTAACTATGGGAATCAGCAAAGCCCTAAATAAAAGTTCCTGAGATGCAACAATAGGCTTGACAACCGAGCTGTTGGAACATTACGTTTGTAAAACGTAAAAGCCCAAGAAGAACTTGAAGTTAGCCCTGATTTAAAGCGATAGATGTTTGTTTATAAACAGGCTTAGCGAATAACATTGAGATTTCTGCAGGTTCTAATAGTCCAACTATACTCAACTAGTGTTGGGAATTGGTTAAAATCTCATAATTGATGATCGGTTCCTTGCAACTGGTCAACCATCGAAAATAATTGGTTAGCAACATTTATCAAATTTTCTTGCTATGTTTGTTAATGCACCCACAATATAAAGACAAAAAGATATAGTTCTTTGAGGGTTTTTCTGGGGTTTTTTTTGTTGCAAATTGCACCAAATGGTATTTGCAAATTTCACATCTGTAAAGGATGACTAGTATGTTTGGAACATACATTTCCTGGAGTCGTTATGATAAAATCAGTCATGACTTGGAACAAGCTTGTCATGCTCATGAAATGTAAATTTGATGACACAGACAACACCAACCTTGTGAAAAATATTGTTAATGCAAACAAGTGTTCCAAAATTGTTTGTGTCCGATAATGAGAAAACATGATCATTTCCTTGGTCGTTTAGTTACTGCGACCAAGCTTCGATTATTTCAATTAATCGGACTCCCGCCATACTCAACAACAAGCAGTATCCAGGCAGGGCACAGTATACATGTCCCAAGCATGGGCTCAGGACCCTATTCAGTAACCATGATAACGTCCAGAATGACTCGTAGCATGACATTACAGAGATAGAAATGCAATGTTTTTTCGAGGTTGCTATTGGGTACCTCACAGATAATTTAGGTATGCCTTGGTGAAAGTAAGTGTGCCCATGCATTTTATGATCTAATTAAACTTAAAACATCACACAAATTATGTAATTTGTTATTAATCAGTAAACATCATGTAAACCTGTAAACTTAAGAGCAGGATTTCCTGAACATTGTCGTGACTCCAAGAACAGTTCAGCTTCGTTTGTCCTGGACCCATAAACTAGCCGGCAAACTGTTATCATCAAAAACCAGATTTCCTGTTATTGTGTACTGACATTCAAGATGGCCACGCTCTTCTTAATTTATGAGATTGAGAGTGCCACTGTTGAATGGGTTGCAAATATAGGTTTTGAATCATTGAGTTGGTCAAAGTTATCGCATTTTCCAGTAAATGAATCCTGAGTTATATTTTCCATAATTTTAGTTGTGCCGCCAGGGCACATTGAAATGTATCGTCCATGGCATTTCAATATTTTACACCAAGCACTAGTTCAATCCTTGGATTAGTACACACAGATGTCATAATGATATGGTCGACTAGACAACCAGACTTGATTAGGTACAGACCACCGCCATATAGGTGGAATATTGCTGAGTGCGGTGTTAAACAACAAACCAACCAAATCATATGACATTTTAAATGTTGACCTGATTTTGACTGCTTTTCTGCCATATTAGAACTGAAAGCTGAAATATCTTTGAAGTCTACAACCTGCTGGCCCCAGTGTTTGACTGTATAGTTCAAAATGACTGACTGAAGTTGTTATATGTAACATGTCACACTTGTTTGCTGCTAATAAATTTTGCGCTTGTTAATAATTTCAATGCCAATTACAAGGAATGTTAAATCTGAAATATGTGTTTATTTTTTCTTCTGTGGGTCCCGTGAATTTTCAGTGGGTCAGACAGACATCTGAAACTTACAGGACCCAATGTCCTGTTATTTTGAAACATCATTCGTGAACACTGTTTCACTATTCACTATTATTAGAGACCCGTGAAGGTCCGGGTTAGAATATTGATCTTCAGTAACCCATGCTTGTCGTAAGAAGCGACTAATGGGATCGGGTGGTCAGGCTCGCTGACTTGGTTGACACGTCATCGGTTCCCAATTTTGCAGATTGATGCTCATGCTGTTGATCACTGGATTGTCTGGTCCAGGCTCGATTATTTACAGACTGCCGCCATGTAGCAGGAATATTGTTGAGTGCGGCGTAAAACTGAACTCACTCACTATTATTAGAGCAAATCTAAACTGCACATACTATACAGAAAATAGATTTTACAAAGCATTTGTAAATAGCTTGCAAAATAATAGATGGTGCCAACTTGACCAAAGGCTTTGCCAAATGAAAAATATATTATCCTGCTAAATCCATATTCTGATCTGTTTGGGTTTTAATGAAGAAAAAATATTTAAATTTGCCACAATTAAAAAATGGCTATGAAAAGATAATTTTCTCCACCGAGGTGTCATCTTGAAAAGTTCTCAGAACAGATACTTTGGTGTGACTGTAAGCATGTTTACTAGTGTGATTGTTATTTCAGTGGTGGAACGCGGAGACCTTCAGTGGGAGACCGACGAGGACTTTGAAGTGGAAACAGTCATTGACCACTGTAATGAGGATGTGAGTTGTCCCTGGAGTAGTCATCTTGTTGTCTCGTCCTGGCACCACTAATAAGTGGTGTTTCTGATGTAGGCTCCAAGCTCGTGTACATTGTAATAGATGTAACTTGCTTCATACAAATGTTCACAGGGACGTTAAGATGTCAGATAATTTGGGAGATGACTTAACTGAATTATTTTCAACCTTAAAACTGAAAAGTCTTGTGTAAGATGAAGGAAAGTCTAACAAGTACTGTTTGTGCATATCTGTCATAGGCAAACATACATGGTCTTCTTCTGCATTTAGAGGGTTCATGACTACTTTAGCCGTATAATCATGTTCGTAAGGCAATAATGAACCTTCCTTGAGAGGTATTTAGAAGTTGGAGCAGTTACTACATACCTCCTGCGTACTACCAGCTCATCAAAGATCCTCATCATCGATAATCCCCCCATTTATGTATACATCCCATCATCCTCATAATCACCTAGTTATGTATATCACAGGCTTCACTTCCCATTGTGTACTTTGCAGGCTTCAATTGTTAACGCGTTCATCAAAGCCCTTGTGTTGTTATTGTGTCTGGCTTCCTATTTCCCATTGTATCTGTATAAACATCTGCTCTAACTTGTATATATGCTCCTTCATCCTTATGCTGTTACTTCCTTGATAACGGTGTTATAACCTACACCGAAACGTCGCTCTCACAGCAATAAAGAAGTTGTTCATCCATATATTGTTATCCTTAATTATGAACCTGTCTGATTTTGCAAAAAATTCCATAGAACAAGTTGATTAAAAAATTTTCCTGCCCATCAAGCTTACATTAGTCAAATAAGACATTTTGCAAAGATACACCGATCACAGACTTTGTTTTTAGGTCATTTCGTTGGTCGTTAGGTATTTAAACATAGTAAATCAATAACATTTAAGGGCCTGAATTTAGTTGTGATTTCAGTGTCCATTTTCAGAGTCTAGATGTCTATTTGAATTGTTACCATGGTTACAGGGAGTTGACTTCTACCTGATCAAGTGGAAGGGATGGAGCAACGGCCACAACTCCTGGGAGCCTGCGGAGAACCTGCAGTGTTCAGAACTCATCAAGGAGTTCCATTCCTTGCCTCCAAGCAGACTCGGAGGGAAGAGACGACTTGCTGACATTGCCAATGGAGGTGACATCAAGCTGAACAAGAAGCGCAGAGTAGATGAGATCTTCGCCAAACTGGTGAAATCCCCGATCCGGGAGATGATCTCCCCGCTTCACCTGCTGTCCCTGTCCAGCCCCAAGAAGGGCAAGCAGCCCCAGTACAAAGGTCTCATCACCGGGGACGACCAGAAGATCAGGAAGGTTAACACCGGAACGTCTTACACAAACCCACGAACAAAGGGCTATAAGCAGAAGAGGCTGGAGGTTCAGAAGGCTTTGAAGGAGTGGGAAAAGCATCTAAACAACATCAGCACTGATCCAGCCCCCATCAGTGTGGAGAACAATATCGACCTGGAGGGGCCACCTGAGAACTTTGAATACATTAACGACTACCGTGAGGGCGAGGGGATCACCATTCCCCAGGATCCGCTCGTCGGATGTGAATGTGAGGACTGCTGGGATACTCGCAAGAGTTGTTGTCCGGCTGCTTGTGGGGCGGAGTTTGCATACTACAAGTATAAGCGGGTGAGGGTTCTCAAAGGGACCCCCATTTACGAGTGTAACAAGAGCTGCAAGTGCGGACCTGATTGTCCCAATCGGGTTGTTCAGCATGGTCGGCAGTGTAAAGTTTGCGTGTTCAGAACTCACAATGGCAGAGGTTGGGGCGTAAAGGCACTCCAGAAGATCAAAAAGGGAACATTCGTCATGGAGTATGTGGGAGAGGTAAGAGACAAATTTCATCCATTTTTCTGCCCCTCTTGAAACCGGGTTAGAATGGGTCCTCGGCTAACTAAGAGGGTGACAGTGAATTGGTAGACATGGTAACTTTGTACTCCCAACGGCATTGGATGCAGTTGGGTGAAGTATTATGAGTGTTCAGTTAAACAACAAACAAGCAATGTTGTGGAAAGTTCTCAGCTTTTGGTTTGGTTGTATGATAACAGGCAAATGTGAAGCACATCTTGTTCCGATGTCATAAAATGTTGGGCTATTTTTAGCAGCACACATTCTCTTCCCACAGAGGTTACTTGTCATATCTTCCTACGAACCTCTGTTCTAATACGGCCATATTTCCCGGTTTTCGTAAAATCCCCTAGCGGCAAAAGATCGCAACATGAATTATCTCCCTTCTTTCTATCCAATCAGAACACGTGTTACATCGACTTAGATTCAACTTGACTAACACAAGCAAATGTGGGGCCACAAATATCCCCCATCTGCCGGGGACTTGTGTTGATGTTACACACAAGACGTTTAATGGCTAGCTTGTCCGTTGTCAACGAGGGCGATGGAGACGCCACTGATCCGCCATAACATGACTGAGTTCTGTCTAGAAGAAACGTTTGCGCATCGCGCAGGGAAGAAGTTTAGTTTTCTCGAAGCATACGGAAATTACCGAGGCCTTGCGAATGATCACTTTTGAAACAACGTCGCTGATTGCACAACTAAATCTGATTGCCTCCAATCACGAGTCTTGAACGCTCACACCATGAAAGGGCCGTATTAGAACAGAGGTTACGTAGGAAGATATGACAGGAGTAACCTCTGTGGGAAGAGAATGAGCAGCACATTGCTTTATTTGAAAATGATGAAAATGTGAGTCAGTAAGACCTTACATCAAGCCAAGAGCTAACTCACTTATTATTATTATTATTATTATCCCCGCAACGCGTTTTACGGGGGGTATTAAAATGGACTCGTCCGTGCACATTTGTCTTTTCCGGAGCAGAACAGTTCAATATTTCTTTACCAAACTTGGCACATAGATAGATCTGGTGGTGTACTGGTGCCTTTTGGTAGTTTTGGAATTGTGAATAAAATATTTTTGGCGTTTCCGTGGCAACAAGTTTTGACTAAGCCTGAAATTGGTGGTAGTACACTTTTCCGGAGCAGAACTCTAAAACCATTCACTATTTCTTCACCAAACTTGGCACATAGATAGATCTGGTGGTGTACTGATGCCATTTGGTAGTTTTGGAATTCTGAATAAAATATTTTTGGCGTTTCCGTGGCAACAAGTTTTGACTTAGCCTGAAATTAGTGGTAGTACACTATTCCGGAGTTGAACTCTAAAACCGTTCTCTATTTCTTCACCAAACTTGGCACATAGATTGGTCTGGTGGTGTACTGGTTCCTTTTTGGTAGTTTTGGATTTCTGAATAAAATATTTTTGGCATTTCCATGGCAACAAGTTTGACTAAAACAGAAATTAGTGGTAGTGCACTTTTCCGGAGCAAAACTCTAAAACCGTTCAATGTTTCTTCACCAAACTTGGCACATACATAGATCTGGTGGTGTACTGGTGCCTTTTGGTAGTTTTGGGTTTCTGAATAAAATATTTTTGGCATTTCCTTGGCAACAAGTTTGACATAGACTGAAATTGGTGATAGTGCTCCTTTCTGGAGCAGAACTTTATAAACCTTTCAATACTCTCCTTCCACTTTTCTATATACACACCTAAATATTTGACATAACTCATAGACATAATCATGAAGGGTATTTGCCATTGCGGGGGATATTGATGACTTTGTCTTCTTCTTATTATTATTATGGTGAAAGAAAACATTGAGTCTTGACTTACCGGCAGTGTTAGAAATGAATGTGGACCCAGGGATCCTTGCAGTTTGTTGCTGTACTATTTGGATCTTGGCACCCTAAACATATTAGTGCTATGATACGGTCCCTTGACTTTGTAGTATTTGTAGTATTTGCTCCTTCGAAGATTCAGGGTGAAAATTGGTCAGTCAAAATTAGGGGTGAAATGGTACGCTCTTACTGCGGTATGGTATGTATGATAATGCAGAAAATTTACAAGAGCCAAACCTTACATTGTTTAATAACGTGGAAAAAAATAACCATAATCTTTGTTATTTTGAATGAACAAAACTGTCATTTTATTACTCGATAGAACAGTTCGAAAACTGAAAATAACAAATTTTTGGATTGCCTTACGGCATACTGAACTGAAGACAAAATACCACAGTTCTACTAATACCGCAGTATACCGTTTCACCCCTAGTCAAAATCAGACCATTTGCTCTGACATGATTCCTTTGTGTAAAGATTTGAAAAACCTTCCTTGAAGGATGTGTCATGTGAACTTTATGATCATTCAGCCTGTTTTGAGCAAAGCTTTTCCAAATGTAAACAAAATACACCACCAGGCATTGGGAAGCCCATTCTAAATTCAGAAAATGGCTAATAATCATGAAAATGGCCCATTGTCCAAGTTCTATATCCCAATCTCTGCAGCACACTAGTGTATTGCTGCATATGTTTTCTTCACAATGTTGTGTCAGTGGCATGCCATAAAAATAATTGTATCTTTAATGTAATATTTGTTACGATGTGTATTTCCAAATCAAGGTGGTTAGGAAATGAAGCCATTCATTTTAGCAGGGGTGGAAATAACCAATTGCCCGACGTCCGAGTCCAGTGGGTTTTTTGTCGGGCAAGCACATTTGTACATGACGCTGTACCGGTGTCCAGTTGACATTCAAATGTTAAATAATCACCAAGAAAATCGGCCGGTATAGCGCAAAAATTATCAGGTCAAGTGATTTTACATGTGCCACTGTACCGGAGTACACTAGCAATTTTAAAGTTATTTCCACCCCTGTTTAGAAATGTGAAATCTGATTGGTTCAAGAACCTATGTGTCCTTCATTAAGATCAGGTAGTCAGAGTTTACTGTGAGTTCACCTTACAGGGAGCGGTAGGGTAGCCTAGTGGTTAAAGGCTTCGATTCCCAACATGGGTACAGTGTGTGAAGCCCATTTTTGGTGTCCCCTGCCATGATGTTGCTAGAATATTGCTAAAAGCGGTGTAAAACTCAACTCACTCACTCACCTTACATGACCCTCTAGGGAGACCTACACTTAGAGAAGTAGGGTCTCTTTACTGAAACCTGTGTTTGTTGATGTTGTTACAACTTGGTGACACAGTTGATAGAATTTCAGTGTTTTGTCTGGTTAGGCTTGATTTGTGTTTATGTAACAACTGGAATATTGCTGAATGCAGTGTACAAGTACAAACAAACCAATCATATATGAATCTAGGATGTCTGAAATCGTTAACTTTCAGTATGAGGTATGAGAAAGACCCTTGGGCTTTGATGCTTAAAACACTGGGATCCAACTGGCACATGGTGAGCTCTCTTTGACATAAACATCTCTGTTTTCCAGGTTATAACCAATGAAGAAGCTGAACGCCGGGGAAAGATTTATGATGCCGAATGTCGGACATACTTGTTCGACCTGGACTACAATGATGGAGACTGTCCCTACACTGTGGATGCTGGTTACTATGGCAACGTCTCCCATTTTGTTAACCATTCTGTGAGTACTGGATTCTCTTCATCATCCTCAGTGTGTGTTGTTCTGCTCAATGGGGGCGCGGTGGGCGAGCTGGCTGAGGCACCAGGCTAGTGATCCAACGAGGTTCAGGTGTCAGGATCGAGCCCACCTGTGACCGGGTGTAAAAACCTTGGAGTCATCTTTGTGTGCAGACTCTTTCAGTTTTGTCACAACCCCTTGTGTACAGTACACAACCCTGTGCACTTAAAAGAACCCATGAATCTGTTGGTATATGACCAGATGGTGGCCACATGAATACGTTCAAACACCTAGTTGCGGGTACAACAAGGTGCAGTGAACAAAGTACTGTGACTATGTGTCCCAGCCCACCCAGCTGTGAATGGGTACCTTGTAAGGATGGGAAAGCCACAATAACTAAGCGAGCCTAGTGGCTGCAAGAGTTGTATACTCCCCAGAGAGTTGAGATTGATATGATGTGCCGTTGAGATTGACATCCAATGATCGAGGGAATAATTCCCTGTGTATTATAGTGCAAGATCTTGTCTGTTATGGTAAGAATTTGAGGTGGTTGCATTAGGTTACAATTGGCCTTCAGCATCCCATGCTTGTCGTGAGAGACAACTAACAGTGTCGGGTGGTCAGGTGGTCAACAGTTGCAATCCATCAATAGTTCAATGCATTGTTACAGCCCTAGTAGTCAGGCTTGCTGACTTGGTTGACACATCATTGTATCCCAATTGCGTGTATATCGATGCTCATACTTTTGATCATTGGATTGCAAAGCCACAAATAGTTGTCATATTTGTTGCCACTGCCTAACTTCCTACACTCTTCCTCTAACTCTGTCATTCCTTCCCTCCAACTTTCCTCAAGCCTTCTCCAGTGTATTATACTTCCAACTTGATTTTAATGTCATGCATTCTATTTTCAGTGTGACCCGAATTTAGAGGTGTTCGGAGTATGGATAAACACGCTTGACCCAAGACTGCCAAGAATTGCCCTCTTTTCAAAAAAAGATATCTCGAAAGGGGAGGAGCTGACTTTTGATTACATGATGACCGGTAACTTATTTGTTGGATATTTTATTGGCGTGTTTGAAAAACTGTCTATGAGGAGTTTTTACCATATTTACAGAGATGCCAACCCTCCCGAATTTATCGGATTCATCCCAAAAAATGCGTGTCCATTCCGACAAAGCCAAATTCATTCCGACTTTTTTCTAAGTATAACAAAGATATAGATAGTCTTACTTACTGGAGGGCTAGGATCATCTTTGACTTTAAATAATGATAATTACATAAATAGAACACTTTATTTACAGATGTTCTCGAATTGTTTACACAAGAAAAGTAATCCAGAAGTTAGTAGGCTGCCTGATAAATTCCATGCACTGTTTTTTCTATTCACTTAACATTCACAAACACTGCTGCCGAGTACTGCAAACCGGTTTCAGTTGTATAAGGATCGCTAAGAGTATCGGCATTGAAAAGTTTCGTTCCTTGAGTGCAAACCTGTTTGGTTTACTGACACCAATACAAAACCGCAAACCGGTTTCAGTTGTACGTGGATCCATGTGTGTAATGGCATGGAAGAGTTACGTCCCTTAATACAAACCGGTTTTGGTTTACCTGCTCACCGCATGGCTTTCAGCAGACATCATGTCAAAAACAGAAAATGTGAACAAGAAGAAACATTTTCAGAAGTATAAAGTTGAGTATGAAGTTTTTGCAGGGATAGAGCGTTCAAAACTAGGGGATCACTATGCGTTTTGTAAATTTTGCCATACAGACATTTCAATTAAGTACGGCTGGAGAGACGATTGCCGAAAACATGTGAATTCAATGAAGAACTGCCAGAATTCGAAGTTAGTATTCGGCAAACCAGTGTCAGCATATTTCAAATAGGAAAATACTGATAAAATTCTCAAAGTTGTTCAAGCTGAAGCTTCCTTCACCCAATTCTTAATTGACCGTAACTTGCCAATATCTACGGCGGATAAAGCTTGCCCCTTGTTCAAACAAATGTTTCCAGACAGCAAAGTTGCAGAAAAGTATGCATGTGGACGAACAAAGACTACTGAAATTATGAAAACTTTAGCAGCTGAAACATCAAGTATAATTTCTGATGACCTGTCTCATACACCATTTTCTTTGGCCACTGACGGCAGTAATGATGATGGAAAATCTCAATTATATCCTGTAGTGGTTAGATACTTTGATGATATGGCAGGGGTGGTTGTACGCTTGCTGCTGTCAGTGTCTTAATGTGAGGAGGATTCTTGCACTGGAGAAAACATATTTAATGTTTTGAATAGAGAACTTTCTCAGTGGAATATTAGCTGGGAGAATTGTATCAGCTTCAGCTGTGACAATGCCAGTGTCATGACAGGTATCCACAAGGGAGTGGCTGCTTTTATCAGAAAACAGCATGAAAGTGTCTACATTCAAGGGTGTGCATGCCACCTAATTCATTTGGCTGCCAGACATGCAGGAAAAGAATTGCCCATATATCAATTGAAGACTTTCTAATTGATATATACTTCTACTTGGATAAAAGTTCGAAACGTAAAATTTTGAAAGAAGAGAGGATTGGTATAAGATAGGTCAGCTCAAGAATGATGGTGGTTGTGTCAAGTATAGTCATCTGTGCAAGGTGATGAAGGCTATTGTTACCTTACCACATTCAAATTCTGACTGTGAAAGGGTTTTCAGTTCTGTGAGAAAGAACAAAGGAGTTTAGACCCAACTTAAGTGTTAAAATTCCTAATTTTTTCCATCTTAAGGAGCTCAGATTCCTAATTGCACCAATTTGGGGTTGGCATCTCTGTATTTATGATTCAGACATGTACAGAATATATAAACTGGACATTATGCTTATTGTAAGACGGTTTCCCCCTGATCATATGTCTAGTTTTGTCAGAACAATACCCCAGCTGTTGGGTTTCATAAAGTGGTAAATGTAAGACCAACGCCTCGTCACTTGCCTTGTCAGTCATGTACACAAAGTATATGATCCAGACCACCAGATGATAGACTTCCATTTTTGTGGAAGCCACGGTGGCTGGATGGGTTAGATTGCTGACTTTGTTTGCTGCCGATTAGGTGATTGGCTCTGAGAGAGTGAGTTCCGTCCAGGACAGGACACAACTCAACCCATCTATAAGTACTAGAATCTGTCCTTAACTGAGAGACCCGTGAAGATCCGGGGTAGAATAGGTCTTCAGCAACCCATGCTTGCCACAAGAGGCTGACTATGCTTGTCGTAAGAGGTGACTAACGGGATCGGGTGGTCAGGCTCGCTGACTTGGTTGTCCTCGGTTCCCAATTGCGCAGATCGATGCTCATGCTGTTGATCACTGGATTGTCTGGTCCAGACTCGATTATTTACAGACCGCGCCATATAGCTGGAATATTGCTGAGTGCAGCGTAAAACTAAAACTCACTCACCTCATTCCTTAACTGAGAAAGTGTCATCCTCATATAACTTACCACAGGTACAGATAAGCTGCTTATCTGCGTAAATTACACAAATAGTTATGTGAAAGCGTCGATTCTTATTAAGACTATTGCATACAAGTACACTTGTACTTTTGTTAATACTCAATAAGTTCGATCTTGCATGCGTACACACAAAAATGTGATAGAGATTACCGAGGACAGATCAAATAGCTGAGGTATATTGAGAGATTCTATTTCCGCACATGAACTTGGCAACTTGCAGTCTTTCTTATTGTTTCTCCTATTACAGATCAAATATAAATAACAAACACGTAAACCATCATTTATACATATATTATATTATATTTGTACAATTAATGGAAAATGGCAAAATACCTAACTGAGTTTGTGTGAGGTGGGTACAATTTATTTGGTTATTCAAAGGAAAATTAGAATATTCAATTGAGATGAACACAAGCGAGTACATAACTCAGTGACCCAAAAAGTTATCTGTAGCTCTGACTTCTGCTACATCTCTTCCTCCTACATTAAGGGGCGGTGGGGTAGCCTAGTGGTTAAAGCGTTGGCTCGTCACGCCGATTCATGGGCACAATGTGTTAAGCCCATTTCTGGTGTCCCCCGCCGTGATATTGCTGGAAAATTGCTAAAAGCGGCGTAAAACCAAACTCAGTCAGTCTGACCAAGGGTCTCCATGGGTTTCGACCTACCACAGTCCTCCTACATTAAGCTGACAAACAGTCATGTAACTCAAATGCTGTTGAAAGCGACATTGAACCAAACTCACTCACTTGTAAGAGCTGACTATGATGCTGTTTGTGGACAGGCTCTTTGAATTTGCTGTCCCAATTCAAGTTACATCACTAGCTTGTTATCTGCAACACGTTTTGCGGGGGATATTAAAATATCAGTATTTCTTCACCAAACTTTTGGTAGATTTGGATTTCTGAATAAAATGTTTTTTTTGCATTTCTATGGCAACAGGTTTGACTTCCACTGACATTGGTGCTGGTGCTCTTTTCCGGAGCAGGGCCCCGTTTCACGACGCCCTTCGTAAACCTGAGATCTTGTAACTTTTCTCGTAGCATTCGTACCTCCTATACTGTAACATAGGAGTTACGAATGCTATGAGGAAAGTTATGCAGTCTTAGGCTAACAAGAGCTTTGTGAAACAGGGCCCAGAACTTTAGAACCTTTCAATACTCTCTTTCCTCTATATATACGCCAAAACAATTGACATAGTCATAACTAGTTGACTTATTTATGAAGAGTATTTTGCCATTGTGGGGTATTGATGACTTTGTCCCTGAAATGGTTTACCTGTACACATATTTCATGTCTGATTGTTTTCATAATTCAGTTGAACTACAGAGCCCTGTGATTCTGTAGATTAATCATGCTTTCGCATTTTTTTCTTTTGATGTATTTATTGTTGTTCCAGGGGACACAACACTGCAAACTGTCAACCAAGTGTCGGAATCCGAGCTGCCCCCCTTGTCAACCCCACTTCAGATGCCCCAGTCGGATGACACAACCAGTGAATACTCCTACACCTCTCAGGATCCTGACTCTAGCTCAACATCCACTTCCAGATCCCCATCAAAATCGGGACCTGGAAGCACCCCTTCAAAACCTACAGGAGGAAGATCTCCATCCAAATCTGAAAGTAGGTCCTCATCCAAGGAAGGAAGATCCCCTTCGAAATCTGAAAGTAGGTCCTCATCCAAGGAAGGAAGATCCCCTTCCAAGTCCAGTAAGGACCAGTCACCAGCTAAACTGGATCCAAGCCTGTCTTCGAGGTCCGGAAGCTCCAAATCTCCAACAAAGAGCAGAAGTGAAGCAGTTGAGAAAAACATTGATGGTGATGACACCAAGTCTGATATTTCCGATATTCCCAACCCTGTCCGTCAGCAGTATCGGATGGTGTGCCAGTGTGGGGCTGCAAACTGCAGAAAGTACCTGTTTTAGTCCTTCGTCCTCGTCTTGTCCATCTTACTGACCGGGATAATAACACAGGAGGGTCGGCTTGATTTCTCCTCTGTTCTCCTCAGGGAAATGTGGGTTCCTCTTGTATGCCCTGTGCTCTTATGCAAGAAACTCTTCTGGATCTCTTTTGTGAACTGAAAATGCTTTTGATTATGCAGTATTAATCATACATTTTTCTGGGTTTCAGATTGTGGAGATGCATTAAGAATATGACAAGTATATTTGAACATACTTTGTTGGCTGTGTAAACATTTAAAACAAATTGGTGTTTATATAATTGTGATTATTGAACTTTGCTTTGATACAGAAGACCAAGCCTTGATACAGATTCCCATTTACCCCAAGCATAAACCCTACACTAAACTGTTAAAATTATGTATCATTGATAAGTTTGTGTCAAGATAGGTTTTCAGGATGGAAAATAAGAACTTTGTTTAAGAGAGACGTTATTTAATATCAAGGTCATGCCAGCAAATTTGCTGGATTGAAATCATTTCAGTATAATACCTCTTCATTTACTGTAATTTCGTTTAGGGTTTACATGCAGAATATGAATTAATATTGGAATTGTCATCACCCAGTCTATGTTGACAAGTTTTGAGTGTTTATTTGTCCAGGGTTATCATGCAGATTGATGTGATACTGTCAAGTTTCAAAAGGTTAATGGTGACATACGTGTGGCCATTTTCAGTTTAGACTAAAGCTGTCACTGTCTCTGTCTTTGGGTCTCGATTAGAGTGCTATGATCAGCTTGGAGAGGTTTAAATTTGGCACTGTTCCTACTCATTGCTTGGAACCATGTTATTCAATTATTCTGAGCAATTTGATGTTGTTTAATGAGAAGGATGGCTGTTGGTGAACCTAGTTGTACTAGTCCTAAGAGTTTGTAGCTAGTCCTTCTGGAATGAGTTACTTTAACATTTTCTATAACATTCACTATCAGGTTTAATAAGTTCCAGCTCACTCATTGAGAATTAGCCGTCAAATGCTTCAATTCAATTAGGACTACCCTTGATCTTTACTTGTCCTCCATACATTAGGAGTCTTCGGCTAGAGCACTATCTTGAATTTTGAAAGCTGGACTGTTCAAGCCATGTACAATGACAGGTGTAAGCTTTCCGTTTACCACAGTATTCATATGCATAAATCTAATTTTGCATCTCATGAATTCTTTTTTATATGAAATATATTCTACTTCCTTTCATCTTTGTGCCAATGGTATTTTATTTGGCTATCGATATAGATCATAGAATTCAATAATCGTAAAATGAGTATTAATCAATTATGGTTAAATATCGGAGAAGTATTTGAGCCAAAACATCCGACAGAAATCAGATCGCTGTTGAGTGGTGACATGTTTGGGTTTGGATTACGAACAAAACACTGTCCGATTATTGATCTTTTTAGCCAGCCCTAGTACTGTATATCTGTGTTGTCAGTTCATTATCAACCCGTTTACAAATATTATAGATGAACAAATAAGTCATGTCTCATGAATTGCAATCCTAAAAATAATTAGCCTGTCCCTACTCCAAGGCAGGATTTAAAATTTTAAACAAGCCAACTGGAATATTGCAAACAAACAAATCAAACAAGGCTGAATAACTTGTCCACAGTAAAGTTTTGACTAGTTAGGTTATATAAATGTTCTGGAGGGGAAAGTTGGGTTATTGCCCAGTGGTTAAAGTGTTTGCTCGTCACACTGAAGATGCGGGTTCGATCCCCCACATGGGTACAATGTGTGGAGCCCATTTCTGGTGATATTGCTGGAATATTGCTTAGAGCGGTGTAAAACCCAACTCACTCACTTATGTCCTAGAGAATGCCACTAGGCATGGACTAGTGTCACAAGGTAAATTGTTATAATGTAAGGACATCAAACACCTATTTCTAAAAAAGCCAGATGGGTAGCTAGATATGAGGTTATTCCCATAACTCTGTTTAAACAGGAATCTGCTAACCCAGAGCCTTCTGCTAATCCTTTTGGATTTATTCACCCACCCAACTTTTATTGTCTAAAATCACTGCACCCAACCCCCAATCATGAGGTTATAATTTCTTCTCCGATTTTTGTATAATTTGTATAAAGATTGATCATGTTTGTTTTGTGAAATGATAATTTTTATTGAAAGGGGTTTAATTACATGAAATTAGTGGAATTTATTGTGTAATTGAAAAGATGAAATAAAATAACAAGTGGACACTCCAGGTTTTGAATTGACCAGATGAAATCAAGAGGTCGATAGATGTTCAATTGCAGTAGTTGTTTTAGTTTGGTCACTCTGTTAATCTAACAAAATATACCAGACCATATGGCAAAGTGTGGTTTCATATTGAAGTGTCATATTTCAAACTTTGATGTTTTATTTTTTCAATGTCAAATATTGTTGTTGCTTTTACTTTTGGACTTTGGAGATATGCTGTCTATTAAATGAAAGGGAAGCATGTCTGGAAGTTTATGATGATGATGATTATTTGAACCAGAGGTTACAGTCATTTTTAAATTGGCTGGAGAAATTAGTAATAACTTGTTACTTCAGTAAAGTACTCCGTGGTATTTCTTGTTTAAAGAAACTAATTATCATAATAAAACCAAAAATGTTTTTCTGTCAACATGTGCTACGTTTCTAATTGTATCAAATGGATTTACAAACTTCTATACCAGTGACTAAAGGCCATATGTGCAAAGTATGTCAGTAGCACAATTTGAATCTTCAGAGTGTCTTGAACAAAGGGGGCGGTGGGGTAGCCTAATGGTTAAGGCGTTGGCTCGTCACGCCGAAGACCCGGGTTCGATTCCCCACATGGGCACACTGTGTGAAGCCCATTTCTGGTGTCCCCCGCCGTGATGTTGCTGGAATATTGCTAAAAGCGGCGTAAAACCAAACTCAGTCAGTCAGTCAGTCTTGAACAAAGACTGAAATGTCAACTCTTATTTCGAATTTGTTTTATGCAAGTACAGTGTACTGTGTATTTAATTTGTAGGCCAAGCACATAGTATTAAAATATAACAACCTTCGTTTATATATTTACGTTATTATGTGTCACATAGAATGATCAGTATGTTTAGCCTTACTGTTATTCTCAGATTGAGGTGGAAAACATTTGAAAGGCACTGCTTCTCAATGAATGTGTAGAGTTATCTCCCTTGGTTCAAGGTGTTTCAGCGGGGAAACGGTTCCATTCCCCACATGGATACTATGTGGTTTCTGGTGTGCCCCCACTGTGATAAAAGCAGATGCAAACCTAACTCACTCACTCACCATTTCACAAATTTGTAAGATGCAGGTTTTCTTCCCTCTAGTAGTGGGACTCCACTCCTCCATATGCTTCCTATGCACTTTCTCGTCGTCCAATCAACATTGAGGCTTCTAAATCTTGGTATGTGTAGGCAAGGTGTTCAGACAAGCTTTCTTTGAGGTGTCCTCAGATGATGACACAGTATTTAAGAAAATGGAAAAAAAGGATTTTAATGAGATTGCCTCCTTCAGCTTCCCTCACATCCAGGAACACTCAGTTATCACCCTTTAATAAATATTGTAAATAAATACCTGTTCTTTCGTGTAATGACATTCTTGATTTGGATGTGGACAAAGTTATTTTACATGACCTGTAAATTTTTTAAATGAATTTGAAAAGTTGACCCCCCCAAAAATAGATGATTTAATGAATGGTAATTTGTTTTTCTTTCCTTTTTTTTTTGCTTTGTAATAGTGATACAAAATAATCTTTTACATAGTCTTTTAATGAAGTGAACCATGGGGATAAATATTTTTAGATGTTTTTACAGTTTTCAGGTCACACAATTGTGAGAGTGCCATAATTGGTATGGTGTCGATCTGATAGACTTGGCATTCATCCTCTGCTTTATAAATGTTGAATGCGGCAACAGATCCCCAGTGTGTTGGACAGTTTTTACATTTGAATGTAGTAATGATTAATTTGGAAAATCATTTTATCTGTATATTTGTTATTCCTGTTGTTTGTGTGGTCTAAATGATGACCTGTGATCCCCAATGCACTGATCAAAACCATACGTATCAAGTTCCGTTAAAACATTTTTCACTTTTCTTTTATTTGTTTTTCAAGGATAGATGAAGGTGTATTATATTCACACTTTCTATCTTTAAAAAAACAAACAAGACTTTTTCATCAATATAAACCCTAGAAGGATACAGAGGGTTTATCCTAATTCTGATTGCTTGAACAAAGAACCTATAATGTGAGTACCTATGACCATGGATAGCAGAAAGATATCCAATATATACTACTCATGATTTGCTAAGGACCAAAAGAATCATCTTTAGACAGGGTTGTGGTGGTCCTTAACCAGTGTTGAGTAGTATAGTACATATCCTTGACAAGGATAATTTCAGGTTAATAAGAGTACCCGGACCAGATGAAATTGAAGATGTGAGTGTGGCATCTGGTAATCCGTGAATACATATTGAGTCAGCAAGTTTGCTGAGAAAACTAGATCATTCATGAGCTCCATTTATGGATTTATGATTTATGAATTGTTCCTGGTTACAAGATCATGGACTGTCAGCTGTTATGGACACTGATAAACACACAAGCTGGTTTAATACATGTTGTGCAAGTGTTTGTAATGCAGTCAGATATGTCTCACTATATATTTACATAAGGAACTTAATAGCAAAAATAGCATATGTCGTCAGATCATTTGAGTTTAGTTCAGATATTTGTTTCTTTGAACATAATCTCCGCTTGAATATTGTAGATATATGTTACAGACAGATTGTGATATCAGTCATTTCGTGAAATGACTAAGAGGGTCAGCCATTCAACTATCCCTACTGCTCGTTCTCTTTCTTCCTGGGTTAACCTTGGCATTCTCTCTGTGTGACTTAATGCGTTTTCGCAATTTGTTTCATGCATCACAAACATTGGCAATCGTTATCAAACACATTTACATCAAATTTGATGGAAACTTCCAAACCTCTTTATATAGCCAATAGCAAAATGGCTGATCCTCTTAGTCATTTCACGAAATGACTGAAATTTTTATTCATTTCACAAAATGACTGATTTCACAATCTGACTGTAACATATACACAAAACTATAGTTTCGCTCTGCCATTTCCAGAAGTTTACCTTACTTGATACAGAGCGTCTAAAAATTGTAGCCCGTTGCCTTCTTTACACCTGGCGGAGATATTGTTAAAACAGGCTTCACTTGTCAGACTTGAAGGCCGAGGTTCCGCTCACAGGTAGTATGTGAGGTACAATGCTTGGGGCTCATTTCTTGTGTCCCTTGCAGGGATATTGTTGAAACGGTATAAAACTATTCGCTTAACTCTTAGACTTTTGTAACCTGTGAAGTGTCAAACTGCTTCCCTGATTCCATGGCAATATATATCACAGTGCAAGAATCTGGTCAACAGTTCAAGGGGTTGATACATTTTATACCTTGAAGCTATGTTGCAATGGCTTAGAGAAATATGCACTTCTATCTTCTTTCTTGCTGCCTGGGGACAGGCGACAAACCACACAAGTTTTGTTTGTTGACTATTATTGTCTGTACATAAGTGCTTCAAAGTTAGTTTACAGTTACAAATTCGATGTTGTTTATGGTGTTTGTACTGTGGCAGGGTCTTGAATGAAATACACAGCTTTGTTGACTATCAAGGTTTGAAGAACAAAATATATATCGTCTTATCTCCTATATATGCATTTCATTTGTAAGACTATTTTGGAAGTTTCCTAAAATGTTGAATTTACTATTTTAATAAAGATTGTGGAATAAAAGTGTGTTTTCTTTCTTTTGAACAATTGTTGGGTCTACTCTGCAGAAGTGACCTTGTGGTCAGAAGTGTGGCTGTTTGCTGAATGCATTTTCTCACTCACTCACTCGTCACAAGAAGTGACTAATGGACATTAAACAACAAACAAACATGCATTCACTCAGCCTGTTCTTGAGGTGAGGTGAGGTGAAATTGGGTTTAACGTGCTTGAGAATATTTCGCTCATATGATGACGTGCATCCATGTGTATGTGTATGCGCGGCTGCTTGTACTTGCCCAGACTTAAGCTGGTTTTATAGTGCTAGCTCACAGATACCATGCCGCAGTGAAGCATGAATACCCCAGACACATTATACTGACTCCGAGCCGACCAGTCCTTGATGTACCCATTAATGCCGAGCGCCAGGCAGGGACCAACAAGTACCATATTTTAACGTCTTTTGGTATGACGCAGTCGGGGATTGAACCCGCGACCTTCCGCGCTCCGGGTGGATGCTCTAACCACTACACCACGGAGGCGGTCCCTGTTCTTGAACAACCAGATGTTCATGAAGAAAGCTGAGATTAGTGACTCTGTGTGCCAACATACCCTGGAGGCATTAATATAGGTAATTATGCACCACCAGATGTGTGTATTATCATCACAGCTGAGGGACAACAGGTGGCCCAGTCACCTTCACTCCCATGTCAACTTGGGTGGTTGTTTAATGCTGCACTCAGCAATATTCCAGCTGTATGGTTGTGGGGGGTATTAAAATGGACTCCGTCCGTCCGTGCACATTTGTTTTTTCCGGAGCATAACTTTTAAACCGTCCAATATTTCTTCACCAAACTTGGCACATAGATAGATCTGGTGGTCTACTGGTGCCTTTTGGTAGTTTTGGATTTCTGAATAAAGTTGGACTGAAATATTTTTCCCGAGCAGAACTCTAAAACCATTCCATGGCAACATAGTTGGACTTTTAGATTTCTGGATAAAAATTGGTGTGTTTCCATGGCAACAATTTTGGCTTCTAGAGCTGAACTTTCTAGAACTGAAACCTTTCAGTACTCTCCTTCCACTTTGCTATATACACACCAAAACATTTGACATAATCATAACTCGTAGACATATTCATGAAGAATATTTTGCCATTGCGGGGGATATTGAATGTGGGCAATTGGGATACGATGACATGTCAACAAAATTAGCGAGCTTGACCACCTGATCCCGTTAATCGCCTCTTTCGATAAGCATGGGTTGTGAAGACCAATTCTGACCCAGGTCTTCATGGGTCCCATATCAAGCAAAAACCAGGTGTATGTAGTCTTAGATGAAAGGAATTTGCCGTGAATTGTTGCATCACTCAGCCATTTGTCAGAAACAGATGTATTCTACATTTGCCCTGATTGTTACCCGGTTTGTGTTACCCTGATTGTGTTACCCGGTACATGATAGTTGTAGGTCTACATTGTAAAAGCAACAATTTTAACAATTTTAATTTTACATGATAAAATTATTTGGACAATGAAATGATTACATAGCTCGAATATGCTCTAAAATTTGGATTGATATTTTCCACTGACATTTTGTGCAAGAAATGGATGTTTTGAGACTTAATGGTGAAAGTTTGACATGGCAGAAACTGTATATAAAAACAACAAATTTATTAGTCTCAACTGTAAATAATCACAAGAACACTTCATTAAAGTTAGAATCAATGATGTGTCAACAAGAATGATTTGTCTTAACAGCAGCTTGCATTCACTGTTTTCTTTTACCAATATAACATTGATATGGCATGGTACTTATGAAATTATAAAGTTTCAAACTTTTATCTGAGGAATAGATCAGTATAATTCACATGTAATTATTAAATACACACGATCTTTTACATTACGACCTCAAACTTCATGTTACGAATAACGTGTAATTTTATTGTTTAACAAGTTAAAAACCGATTTGCTTTCAAGGAAGGGCGGGTAACTCCATCCTACTTAATCAGAAGCACCTGCCGAGAGGCCAAACAAGCAGACATGTGACCTGTTTCGCTTTCGTGTCATTGTTGGATATGATGGTTAGTCACCGTATTTGGGGTTTGTGTTTGTCAAATGGAAAAATCGGGTGGTAAAACGATTTCTTTGAAGAGCAACTCGGATCTGCTCGATCAAGAGGAAGTAGTGACTGTCAGTGGAACGGGAGATTTCGCCGTGGGTAGGTTCGATATTTCTTGTTTACAATATCATCGCGTTACGCGGAAATGACAATATCACGACACAGATTGGTGACAGCTTGATGAATGCCAAACTCGTAAATAATACTAATGACACATATGCTGTGTTTGATTAGTGTGACACGTGATATCGATTTATAATATAAGTATATGCTTACCTGTGCTGATTTCACCTATCATTAGGAGATGCTCACTTACCTGATAACGGCAATATGGATGCTAGACAGGTGTGTTATTTCGTGGGAAGGTTTTATAGTCATACTAACTGTTATAACTTAGAATTTTGTCATAATTAACTTAAGTTTTACGAAGTCACGAATTATTTTATATATAATTAACTTTTGGCCAGAATTAACATGATTAAGATGAGTCAGACGATCATAATTAAGACATTGTCTGTTTCAGTAAATCAGCATTATGTGTTGCATACAACTATTACAAGGCATTTCTTGTTAGTTAATTAGCTGAAAGGTACAATAATTTAAATGTCAATATTTGGTTAAATAATAAAAATTCACAATTTTATTAAAACATTGGATGGTTTCACCTTGCCTAAGAAAGTCAAAGTCAGTCTGAAAGTTATCTGTTTATGATAACATTATTCTCAATTCTTTGTCCTGGTAGAATAACACTGACAGATATTCTCGTCTACTTCTCCATTATCCTGTATGGCTTCACCCATGTGAACATCTCCCAATGGAGATGAAGGAGGAAGTGGAAATCATATTATAGTTTTGACATGTTAAATGGGTCATTTTCATTTTGAAATTGGATCATTATGAGAAATGATAGTTTGTACTCATACCTTTGAAAAACTGACTTTGGCAAAACCAATGACATTAACGTGCCACTTTTGCATATGCAAAGTTTAGATATTATTGTATTTTTATTGTTATATTTTACATGCTTGAATCATCATGACAATGACAGTAGTTACATGCGAACTGGGTCAGTATCTTTATTTATATATATTGAGGGTTATTAAGTTGTTCAAGGCCATGATGTTTAATTGAAAGATTTTCATCCCTTCCTGCATCACCAAATTGCACCTGAATCTGACGTTACTTTTTGTCTTAAAGTGATGAAGGTGATGATGATGATGATGATGATGACTATTGATGAATTGCTACAACAGTATCTAGAGACGTTTGATGATGATGATGATGATGATGATGATGATGATGAGTCAAAACTTGGCAAAATCACAAGAGTTGGGTCAGTGGGGAAGCCCAGTGTTTAATGCATTTACTTGTCATGCCAAATGCCCAGGTTCCATACCCCATGTGGGAATCTTTGCTGGCTGTCATGCACCATAATATTGCTGGAATATTGTTAAAAGATGTGAAAACCATAGTCACTATGATTATTTTATTATTTGTGGGTCACTGTACACAGTCATGGAAGCACATCATTGAACATTTTGTGACGGTTCAGAATATAAGGAAACTGATGGTTGTATCCAAACCACATTTTGCTGTATGACTACCACCATGTTTCTGTCATCTTAAAAGCTACTGTCAGTTTCTATTAGAAATGTGCATTATGTAAGTAGATTACATACTGAGCACTTTGGTTACATGGAGTATTTTGTCATGAAATAACCTGCATGTGTACAAAACAGATTTTAATGTAAAACAAATCAGATATGTTTACCATATTCACTATGTTAAGTTCAGTGGTGGAGTAGCCTAGTGGTTAAAGTGTTTGCTTATCAACAGAAGACCCAGGTTCAAATCCCCACATGGATATAATGTGTGAAGCCCATTTCTGGTCTACCCTACTGTAATATTGCTGGAATATTGCTGAAAACAGCATAATAATTAAATGTCTTTCACCAATAATTGCCCCATGACCAACTACTGGAAGAACTTGTATGAAAGTGGATTTAAGGCCCCCAAATATAGCCGAAAATCTACAGGACAGTCCATATTTTATTGTGTATATGACACATTTACAGAAGGCAGCTAAGTAATTGTCAAGAACCGATATGCTTCTTAGGGCAAATATGATAGACTTCATTATATGTAATAAAAGCAGCTATTGACAGTTTGTCAGTTAGCTTTTTATATTTGACATGAAAAATTGTATGGTTTGCAAGTACTGAAAAGTATGTTTAGGGCACATTTAGTTTGCAAGAATGATCACATTACCTAATCTCTCCGATACCACATATTTCATTACATTTCCATTGGAAGTCTTACATTTAAGTGCTGTTATGAAAGGGTTGTCATGAACTGTAAATCCGTATCATCATTTATGATTTATCTAAATACTTCAACTCCAGTTTTAGCTGTCAAGTAAAGGTGAGCTTCTGTACCTCTGGTGCTCTGGTTTAGATAATTTAAACCATATGAGACTTCTATATCACTGTCACATGGTACACGAATGGTGACTCACTTTACAAGCCTGTTTATCCTTATATTGTTCCCTACTAGGGAAATCTCTATGTCAATCTAAAAGACCAATATAAATATGTATAGTTAACTGAAAATATTAATGGCAAGATGTTTTCATATGATTCATTGTCCCGCGCCGCAACGCGGAATGGGGGACTATGTATTCAGCAGCGTACGTACGTCCCGATTCTTGTTAACGCGATATCTCATGAACTGTTGCGCCTAATGTCTTCAAATTTGGTGACGATTTGGGTGACCTTGACCTTATTTTCAAGGTCACCACGACTCTGACCACTTTTCAAACTGTTGTTAACGTGATATCTCATGCACTGTTGTACCCAGTGTCTTCAAATTTGGTGACAGCCTACATTGGGAGATTATGCAGACACCACTGTATTTAGGTGACCTTGACCTTATTTTCAAGGTCACCACGACACTTTGAACACTTTATAAACTCTTCTTAACACAGCATCTCATCGACTGTTGTACCCAATGTCTTCAAATTTTGTGACAGCCTACATTGGGGGGTTATGCAGACACCAGTTGATTTTGGGTTACCTTGACCTTATTTTCAAGGTCACCACGACACTTTTCACACTTTTAACTCTTGTTAACGCAATATGTCATGGACTGTTGTACCCAGTGTCATCAAATTTGGTGACAGTTTACATTGGGGTATTACACAGACACCAGTTTATTTGGGTGACCTTGACCTTATCTTCAAGGTCACCACGATACTTTGACCGCTTTTTAAAGGCGATATCTCATAAAACATTGCACCCAATGTTTTCAAGTATGTTGACAGCCTTCATTGGGTGATTATGCAGACACCAGTCATTTCAGGCATCTTGTATGTGACCCAAAAATAAAAAGTAGTAAATATAGATATTCCATTCTTTAGCGGCGGGGGACATTGCCACATCAGTGGCAAACACTTGTTGTTATTACATCTTATCTTATAAATATTATAACAAATTAGATTAGGTTAGATGCTGCTGCTGCTGCTGATGATGATGATGGGTAATGACAATTTTCTTCTGATGAATGAGTGAGTGAGTGGGGATCCATCTTATCATTTGATATTAAAACAGTTTAGATGATGACGATGAGTGAGTGAGTGAACCGGTGACATGAGGTCAACCAAGTCAGCGAGCCTGACCACCCGATCCTGTTAGTCGCCTCTTACGACAAGCATGGATTACTGAAGATCAATATTCTAACCCGGACCTTCATGGGTTAAAACAGTATAGATGATGATGATGATGATGATGATATTTCAAGTACCGTGTAAGTGGGATGGTACAGGAGATAAATAGTTTAATCCTCAATGTTCAATACATAGGTTATAGTCCACACATTGCTACAGTGGGTGTGGCACATTCCTCAGTTCCTGGATGCCACACTGTTAAGGTGGGTGTGATGTACGGGGACATAGTCCACAGTATCCAGGAACATAAATGCAATTCTTCAATCTATTCACTGTGTGTTAAATAGTCTCAAAATATTCCTGGGGCAGCCTAGTGATTAAAGTGTCCTCTCGTCATGTCTAATCCCTGGTTCGATTACCTATATTAGTACAGTTTGTGAAGACTATTTCTTTGATATAGCTGGATTATTGCTACAAGTGGTATAAAACTAAACTCACTCACTCACTCACTCAAAATATTGCTGGCCAGGTGAACTTACAAGCCTTGAAAGTTTCTGGCGAGTTTTAAAGTTCATTAGCATACTTATGTGACAGTTTCTTTTCCCAGAAAGTTTGTTCTATGAAGGTATCAGAAACTAAATACTAAATTTCAAATCATGAGTCAAATATTTGTAGGGAGACATACCAAGACCTCAATTTGTTACAAATATTTTCTTTGTTAAATTATTTTTAATGGTCACACTGACATGAGAATTTTTCAAATATATTTTAATGAACTGTGAGTCATTCAGTTGAGGTCTGGTCATCCTTAATCTTTAGCCTAATCTCAAGTTTGCTGTCCACAAAGATGTTTAGTTGTGTCCTTTAGGGTGTGTGTCCGCATGAGCAATATTTCACATCCACCTTCTTACTTGCTGATGGTCATTTTGACATCTGCTAAATAAGAATTAGTAGTAATGTAGAGGTTATTCCCATTCGACACACTGTATGAATTCCCCTAAATATTTCTGCCATATAGCTGGAATATTGACGAGTGTGACTTAAACAGCCTCCCAACCATATATAATTTATGCTTTATACTGTGAATTATGTATGTTCAGTTTTCATTGTTTCCAGGGTGCTTTTGTCAAAGACAATTATATAACTGGCTTCATATCATAAGAATTTTCATTTTCAAATTCTATTTTAGAAGTGCCCTTTAGGCCCTTAATGCAGTTTAACTGTACGATTATGTATGTACTCTGTAGTTGACACAAGAAATCTCAAACCCTGGTACATACAGTGAAAATGTCATTATGGTCACACATGGTCTGTACACAGAAAGAGTACTGGTAGTTGAATGTGTGTCCGTGTATAGCATTCTGACTCCTGAGAGGTTGTTAGGTCATCAGTCCTACTCACTTAAAGTGTCTCCAGGGGCGATGGGGTAGCCTTGTTG